CAGCATGAAACAATGATTGCACGGCCTTCCCCGGACTTTGGAGCTTCGTTTCCTGCCTGGCCAGAGCGGTTACACACATAAAGCAGTCCGTACTCTTGCGCTCCTATTTCTTGAAGACAGGCCCGCCACACGTCTTCTAGCTAGTGTGAGAAGGGCGTCGTGTCCTGCCTGGCCAGACGGCTTTACACAATCCATGTTGTTATTTCTTGAAAACAGGCCCGCCGCACGGCGTCCACGGCTGGTCGAAGAGTCGCTGGAGTCGCTGCTCGAAGCCATTGCACTGATACAATGAACGTTGGTCTCGATCTTCTTTTAGTCCCGCACTGATAGACTATGAGTGGCTGCACGCAGCTCGGCTCTAGTTTGGACGCCAGTTGCTACGAACCACAATGAGTGGCTGGACCCAGTTGCTACGAACCACAATGCTGCAAACTGGCACCTCCCAGGCTCCTAAACTGGCACCTCCCAGGCACCTCCCAGGCTCCTCCCAGGCACCTCCCACACAATAGAAAAACACACACACACACACACACACACACACACACACACACACACACACACACACACACACACACACACACACACACACACACACACACACACACACACACACACACACACACACACACACACACACACACACACACACACACTCGCACTCGAGAGAGAGAGAGAGAGAGAGAGAGAGAGAGAGATAGATACCTACTGATGCAATGGATGCCATGTGTTTGGATTGGAAGGCTACGAACCAAAACGAGTGGCTGCAAACTGGCACCTCCCAGGCTCCTAAACTGGCACCTCCCAGGCACCTCCCAGGTTCCTAAACTGGCACCTCCCAGGCACCTCCCACACAATAGAACCCCACACACACACATTCGAGAGATACCTACTGAGCAATGGATGCCATGTGTTTACATTGGGAGTGTGCGAGCCTTTGCTGCACTACCGCTGTTTTTGCGTCATTACTGGAAAGGCTTCAAGGGAGGAGGTGGGGACCTTCCCAGTAAGGTCCTTTGGCCGATTCTTCGGCTGGTCTGGTCCGGCACACTGCGGCTGGCCACTGGGGGCGCCCCGAGGAGGGCGGGGGGGACCCCCACACAAACCGGTTACCTCACTGGCAACTACGTAGAAAGGTGTGGCCGGGCACACTCGTAAGCCTACCTCACGTGGTGGTATGGCTAAGGCCTTACTCGCCAAGTGTCAGTTCCAGGCCCAAGCTGAAGGCTTAACCCTCCGGCGCAGCTTGCAGACGCTACCAAATTGCAAAGCCTCTCGCAGCTGAGCTGCTCGGCTCTGCCTAGCTCGGCAGCGGCCGCTCGGGCTCTGCTGCACGCTCCATCGAGCCCTCGCTGAGTTTAGGATTTAGGGTTTAGGGTTTAGGGTTCTGGTTTGGGGTTTGGGGTTTAGGGTTTAGGTTTAGGGTTTAGGGTTTAAGGTTTAGGGTTTAGGGTTTAGGGTTTAGGGTTTAGGGTTTAGGGTTTAGGGTTTAGGGTTTAGGGTTTAGGGTTTAGGGTTTAGGGTTTAGGGTTTAGGGTTTAGGGCTTAGGGCTTAGGGCTTAGGGTTTGGGGTTTAGGGTTTAGGGTTTACACACCAAGGTGCTGCTCCTTCGTCAGATTGAAATCGAAAGGATCATATCTGCCGCCGCAAAGCCTCAGCTCACGTTGACACAATGTGTGCAGAGACCACGCCCCATTCCATGCCAAAAAAGTAACATCGTCTCCACTGTTGAACAAGGGCGGTATGTTCAAGAAAGCTTGAGCTTGCTGCGCAAGCTCTTGGATTTTTCTCCAACTCTTGACACCTGAACACCTGACACCTGAGCTTCCCCTCAACCTCCACAAGACCGAAAAGGCCCTGAGCTCATGCGCAGCTTGGGCCAAACCACGTGAGGATCTCGGGCGCCAGGCCCGAGATGCCGCTGTTCTGCCGGAAGCCCTTCTTGGCCGTGGCGGCCTGGCATGTCTCGGATACTGGATGGTCACACCATGGAGCCAGGCCCTCCGCCGGAAGGCCTCAATCTGCAGTACCAGGTTGGCATCCATCATGATGTTGACCTAGTGAAGAAGTGTCGAGACATCATGGCAGCTGCCACCGTAGCAGCTAATCATGGCAACTGTACCATTGCACTCCAACTACGAACATCGGTGCTTTTCACGAAACCGTAAACCCCAAATCTGAACCATAGCGGCAACAGGGCTTGTGATTTGGTGACTTGGAGTACTGCCAGCCATGGATACAGGCGGAAACCTGGCGGTGCCTCTTGTCTCTACTTGGAGCCGTGGCACCGAGGTCAGTGCGAGGTCCAGGATGCTCTTTACAGAAAACAGCGTTGGCATTTTCTGCATGTGCTCATTGAGGTGGGCCATGACATCGGGATGCTTTTTCAGCTTCTCGTCCGGGATGATGGTGCTGAGGCCTGCTCACAACTTGGGTCATGTCCGCTGTTGCATGCCGGCGTGGTGATCTGCGGTTGCCCTACGGTTTTCGGCGTGTCTTGGGGCAACGCGACGCCATCACACGGGATTTTTGGTTAACTTTGGGGATCCAGATTGCGCCAGGTCCTGGAATGTGGTGGCGGATCCAGTCGACTGGCCGCACCATCAAGCCCATGCGCTTCGCGTCTTCTGGCAAGGCATCCACGGGAAAGTCGTTGCACATGCCGCCGTCGCAGTACACATGTCCTGCCAGGGCGGCTCTCAAGTCACTCGAGCCATTTTCAGTTCTCAATCATCTTGGGAAGCAGTTTATAAGCAGCATCTTAGAAGTTCATATGGGCCTTTGATGGCTTTTTTGATCCCCATATGCCTTTGTATCTGAAAGGCTCCATGAGTCCAGGCACACCCATGGACATCCGTACAGCAACGCGCACTGGTAGATCAGGGTCGCTCTCCGGAGTGAACCGCTTCTCATGGCCCGAGTCCAACTCACAAGCCAATATCACCAGCCTCTTGCCTCACTTCGTGTCGCTTCGCATGACTTCGTCTCAGACTTCATTGCGGGCATGTGCGAAGAGCTTCAGCCCATGCGATGTTGGGCTCAGGAGTTGGGGCTGGAAGAAGGAGGGGAGCGGAATAAATATGCGCAGAAAAAAGGAGAGCTGACCAAGCGGCCAAACCGATCTTGCACTGCCTTGAGCGTGATAGCAGCATCACCGCCTCAGTGAGACGAGCAACCCCCTGTTGCCCGGAGCCCTCGCAACCTCTCCTCATCTTTTCCCAACGTCCAACATACACCAAGTGTCATCGCTCTTTCAGCGCATTGCCGATCATCTCCTCGGGTCTGGGTGGTGGAACCTCCAACAAGGACCCTTAGGAGGTGTTGGAGGGTTGGAGGACCCCCTTCCCTCTCCTCGAGGCAGCTGCCACTGTTGATGCCAGGGCCAGTATCACCTGCCAGGGAGTGTAGGGCGTCGGCCGTAGGGTTTCGGCTTCTGGCTTTTTGCTTTCGTTGACTTTGGGCCGAAGTTCAGGAAGGAGTTTGAGTTGCTTGACACATCTCCGCGTGTCCCACCTGCAACCAGGCACTCAACCACCTCCGCCGCATGAGAGCCCATCGTAGCCCGCAGAACGCTTTGCCTCGAACCCGGCACGAAGACCTAAACATACCTAAATACCATACTATCCATACTACCTTCAGTCGTTCCCACATAACTCCTAGAACTTCCCACCGTCAGGATTTGCAGCTTTCAGCCTTAAGTCCCACCAAATCGACCCGGCTCAGGACGAGCAGCACCACGTTCCCGAGGACGCGGACCAAAGCCCCCAGCTCGGGGAGCGCGATCTTGTAGAAGGGCAGCTTCTGGACCCTCAGAGTGCTTAGTTTAGGGTCTAGGGTTTAGGGTTTAGGGTTTTGGGTTTAGGGTTTAGGGTTTAGGGTTTAGGGTTTAGGGTTTAGGGTTTAGGGTTTAGGGTTTAGGGTTTAGGGTTTAGGGTTTAGGGTTTAGGGTTTAGGATGCTTGGGATGCTGCGGGTGCTTGGATTTTTTGCGGCTTTACAGTTTCGAGAAGCTTTAATTCGTGATTGGGCTTGGTTCAGAACGTGTGAACATGCATAGGGCCTCAGTCCAAAAACACAGGGGTGGACCGAAACGTTTAGACCGACAGTGACGAGAAATGTTTGGCCTCAAAATCGAAATTGGCCCGACAAGTCCTAGGACAACGAGAACATGCAAGAACCCTCAAAACCAAAACACCTCGACCCTAAATCCTAAACTTCGAAACACGAAATAACTCCTACACTCTAAGCCATGGGGGCGTGCATGGGGCGTGCACCTTTCAGGTTGGCATTGTTTCGCATCCTGACTGCCTGTGGTTTCTGGGCAGCCTGACCCCGAGAAAAGCCCCAAAATTGTCGCTGCCGAGCATCAGATCAAAGATCTCATCTGCGCTGCAGCCAACAGACAGCATGGCAGCCACGACAGATCCAGCAGAGACACCCGCCAGTGTCTTCAGATTCCTAGAAGTCGTAGCGCAGGAGCAGAAAAAAAGTAGAATCGAACACTGCGAGACGGTCTCAATTCGCGTTCATCATCTCCCCTGCTCATCTCCCCTGCTTGTAATGACCCCCACTCGAAGGCAAACGCCTGAAGCGAGAACGTGGAACCCCGCATACAGAGCCTCTCTTCCGCAGCCTGGCTGCTTCGTCTCCATCCCATGGCGCTCGAGGGCTCGAAGGCCGCCCACATGAGTAGCTGCCAGGATTCCTCGGGTTTCTTAAAGCTTGCAAGCCTAGAGCTTCAGGGATGGGAGGAAAAAAGCGGAAGCATCGACATCTCACCGGTTCCCGCTGATTCTAGCTGAGCAGCCACAGCCATAAATGGCGAGAGCGTCGACACTTCGTACCTGAAGCTGTCAGAAATGGCTTCGACGGGTGTGTGTGTGGGTGTGTACGTGTAAGCATGCAAGCGTGCAAGTGCGCAAGCATGTAAGCGTCCAAGCGTGTAAGCGTCCAAGCGTGTGAGCGTGTATGCGTGCAAGCATGTAAGCGTTAAGCGTGTAAGCATCTATGCGTGCAAGCCTGTAAGCGTGTAAGCAGGCAAGCGTGTAAGTGTCTAGGTGTGTAAGTGTGTAAATGTGAGAGCGCGTGTGTGTCATACATTGATTGCACGTTGGCAACTGCGCACCACAAGGTAGAGACGAACCCAATACACATCAGCGGCACCTTCTCAGGCAGTCAGAATATGCCGTTCCACCGCTGTGTCTCAGGCTTCCCTTATGAGGCCAGTGGCTAAAGCGCTTCCTGATTTACAGCATGACGGGCCGTCGCCCTCATGCCACAAAACAATCGCAGCCGCGGCACATACTCGTTGAACTTCTTGGCTGCTTTGGCGTCCACTGCTGCAATAGTCTCTTCGACGATCTGCCATGCAAAGCTCCATTCAGTACCCTAAACCCTGAACCCTAAACCCTAAACCCTAAAACTCTCAGTTTTATCCAGCCCAGTGAAGGCCTTTCTCCGCCGGTCGATTGCTCCAGGAGTATTGATGTCGAAGAACTCGTGGCAGCGGAGGGACCACTCCTCACAGGCAGAGGCTTTACAAAGCCTTCGGCTTTTGCGGCTTTTGGTCACAAGGCTGTATGACACTGTATGAGGTTTGAGGTTGCAACTACTGATAGTCTGATCGTCGACTTCGATTTGGTGCTTCAGCGACTTAGGCCTTTTGCTGACAGCCGCGCTCAAGAACACTGTGTATGCAAGGTTGGCAAAAGAGGCACCGATTCCAGTTTGGGATGCTCTCTGCTGGAGCCTCCTGTTGGACAGCGGGCAGAGCACAAGCATTCTCGACTTCCGTGCCATCTGGTGATTCTGGTGCCCCAACGCATTCACTGGACCATGGGCCCCTTCGTGGTAGCTCATGGGGGGGTTTCGGCAGGTGCGGAGCACCTGCCTGGTTAAATCCCTCACGCGCTTCGGGAGAGTGCACACTATGGGTACGTGCTCTCTCACTTGATTTTGGGCTGGCGACGCAATTGCAGGACACGGTTTTTGTCTATGCTGGGTTGAACCCAGACGCACACTGGCAGAATTCTGCGCCACCCCTCTCTGCAGGGTGAGTGCATACTGCCGATCGAAGTTTAATTAGGTGGAATTCATCTGCTAGATGCGCGTTCGATCCGGACTCAAGCATTACAGAAAGAAAAAGAGATTGCAACTGGTCGGTGGAGCTCTTGGGATGGGGGAGAGAGCCAAAATCAGAGGATGGGGGAGAGAGCCAAAATCAGAGAAACCGGTGACTGCACACATATTCGTGGTTTCAAAAATGAATGCGCAAGGCTCACCGGTTGCCATAAGTAGGGCGAAAAGTACCCTGAGAAATGGCTATAACCAGTCACAACTATAGCTACCCCACTCATGAGACCCCACTTACAACGACCCGTGAACCTCCAAAGTAGGGGACCGAGGCAAGCGAGCTTTAGGGTTAGGGTTTAGGGTTTAGGGTTTAGGGTTTAGGGTTTAGGGTTTAGGGTTTAGGGTTTAGGGTTTAGGGTTTAGGGTTTAGGGTTTAGGGTTTAGGTTTAGGGTTTAGGGTTTAGGGTTTAGGGTTTAGGGTTTAGGGTTAGGGTTTAGGGTTTAGGTTTAGGGTTTAGGGTTTAGGGTTAGGGTTTGGTTTAGGGTTTAGGGTTTAGGGTTTAGGGTTTAGGGTTTAGGGTTTAGGGTTTAGGGTTTAGGGTTTAGGGTTTAGGGTTTAGGGTTTAGGGTTTAGGGTTTAGGGTTTAGGGTTTAGGGTTTAGGGTTACCTCAACCTAAGCCTCTACCCTGGACGATGGAACCCCATAGTGTTGTCACGATGTTTGAACCACGCAAATAAATCCATATTGGTGGTTGTCAATATTTATGGTCCTTTGTTGGATCCCTACTATAATACGGCACCTAATTCAGGGTGCCTAAACAGGGATCATAATTTTGACAACCACCCACACATGTATTTATACGTGTATTTGTTTATGTTTGTGCGCACTTGTTCGTTTATTCCTCTATATCTAATAGCCCAACAGTACCCAGCTCTTTCTAGCGTTTGCTGGAGTCTACTGTTCAAGGGTGGGTGTGATCCGTCACTTTTCAATTGACATTGAGCTTCCATGTCGTTTCACTTCATTTCGTCACACATCAGCGAAGAAACTAGATACACGACTTCTTGCTTACCTGTCTACTTCCGTGACTTAGGCTGGGTCTCAAGCCGCCACAGGAAGTTTCAACCTCAAGGATCTGGCGTCTCCCTCGTGAAAGAGCGAAAGATGTCTATCATAGTGGCTGATCTGTGTTGTGCGTGTGTGCAGCGTGTGTTTCCTTGCGACTCTGGAACTAATGAACCACTTTGAAGTCGGGGCCGCCAAGGCCAGACGACTCGCATTGTGACTTCGCGCGCACGTGGGGTTAAGGGTTGAAGGTTAAGGCAACGGTGCCGAAAGAGGAACTCCAAAACAAAAACGTCTGCTGCACAGGTATTAAACCTGCTTTTCGGCAACTTGGACAGGGATGACCGCAGTATTCATGAAACAACTGTTTGTTTTGGGGCCGGGGGGCCCTTGAACTATTGATAAGGAGCACATAGAATGATGTATGCAGCGAGATGAGGGCTGTCCAAGAGGTTGGGTCAGACAGGTTCCAAAGGTCGGGTAAACCCACCGAAAAAGGAGAACCGGAAATACAAACAGCACCATTCAACACCGATTGGGTCTGAAGGTACCCCCCCCGCCTCCTTTGAGAGGTCCGAGGTGCTCGGGGTAGGGCTCAGCTACAAGTATGCGACAGGTCGCGGGCCACCCGCCTACAACATGCATGCCCTGAGTTCATGTTGCGAACGGGCCCTACCCAACAAGCCTGCTGTTTGCAATGCAGTCAACCCTTGAACTATTGATAAAATCGACACATCAACCAGATAATTAAGGCCCAACAGATTAAGCGGGTCTAGGTTTTCAGTTGAATTATGGGGTTCAAAGCTGTCGGGGTGCCAACTTGACTCGTCTCAAGCTTCCTGCGGAAGGTGTCGTTCAACAACATCCGACCGAGAGGGCTTCATGACTGTCACGGTGTTTTATGGTATGCTGCGGTATGCCTGCGCTCGTTTGCCTTGCCACCAGGAGGCGTCGGGGTCCCCATGCAGATTCGTCTTTGCAGTGGTGGCTGTCCGCTGCCTGTAGCGGCGATAACCGCCGTACAGAGTAGGCGGCAGGAAAATGCCTGGGATTCACTTCGCAGGTCGGAAGGAGGGCAACAGGGCAACCCTAAAAGCTTCAGGCCTACAGCCCTAAACGCCACGGCCTTTTGAATCCCTAAGAGCCAGGGTGCAACACGCAGTCCATAACTGCAGATAGGAGAGAGTCAGCACGACTCCCAAGCATATCAAGAGGGCGGTGATGACCAGAAACCCAAGTCTGGGAAGTCCAACCGTCAAGAACCTGCTCGGAAGTATGAGGGATGCCGAGGGGATTGAGAGACGCCCCGAAGAAGAACTAGGGAGAAGTTCTCGTGTGAGACAGGACTTCGGAAACCCAAACTGTGCATCACTGCGTTCAGTACGCACTCACAGCTAGCAATGGCGAAGAACCATAAGTCTCAAACAGGGTTCAGTGACCATTGTCAGCAAAACGGCGCTATCAAGGCCCACATTGTCCATATGGGCCCTCCTAGGTACCCCAAAGCAGACACTCTCTTCAAACGGCCTTCAAATATCAACCCCCCCCCCCCCCCGTGGCCTATCCGCAGTGATCGCCACAGGCGGGTAGGAAGGCGCAGGGATGAAGAGGCCCATCAGCGGCCTCTTGCGCTCGATGTAGTCCACCACCTGCTCCCACGAATGCTTCGGGATGTATAGGGGCTTGCGAAAATAGGGGACCCGTAAGACAGTAGTAGGAACCCTGATAAAAAGGACCCCAACAAGGTACCCCTAATTTCGGAAAACCCCCGTATGGATGTACTCTACTGTATTGCCGTTGGCCCGCTATACTCTTGGAGTTGTCTGTTTTGATGTCACTTTCTCTCCGTCTCGTCCTTTCAACCTGATGGGATGCGTTCCGCTCGTAACCAGGCCTCGCGCTTTTCGAGCTCTTGCTGAATCGTTGTCCGCAGCAGGTCTTTTGGGGACAGCGATTTCGTTCCATCTTTCTCCGTTGTAGCGGCCATGGCCTGAAAGGGAGGTGTGGTGAGGGCTGTTCAATGGTCTGGAGCAGCATTTGCACATGCCTGAGTCCAAAAACACTCTGTGCCGAGGGGCGTACGAGGCTGCCTGTCAGCCGGCCAAGTTGAAGCACTGATGTCAAAGCTATGGCAGCTGAAGGTGATAGAACATGTGAATAGGGCAGATCGTGCGGATTGTGGATCCTTGCTGCTTCTGGATTGTGGATGGATTTAGGCCCAGTTCAGGCTAGTAGGGTGTACAGCGGTCTATGTGTATGCTTGCGATGCAGCAGTATCTCGTCGGCATGGTGAAGCCGAAAGGGCTTGAGTGGAGCAGTTGAGTGCAGCCAGCGTCTGCAGAATTGACAACTGAAACAAAGCAGCCATCTGCAGCAGACGCAAGCGTGGAACAAGCAATGCTGAGCAAGCAGCGCATTCAAGAGCTTTCCGATCGGACTTGGGAACAGATCGAACTGATTTGAAGTGAAAGCTTCTGTCGCCGAAGCTCGCACTGTGAACCTGCCACGTCAACATCTGACTTCGCCGGCTCGCTCCGACCGCATGAGAGCACTCAACTGCGGCAGCCCGGCTCAAAACGCGCAAGATAAAGATCTGGCGAGTCGATGATCTTTGGCAGCCTTGGGTGAGAAGGTGAGCTGTTGGTCCGAAACGTCCGAAACAATATATCATGATATTATTATGTCAGGAGACTAAAATGTGGTTATACTATTCTACTATACTCGTTGTATCATTTTCTTGTCGACTCTGTGCCTTGAAAGAGTGAAACAATGAAATCATCTTGTTGTTTTATATAATTCTTCGTTTTTATGTCGCATTGCTATGTTCTTATACTGTATTGCTATGTTCTTATACTACTAGAAACCTGAGCCATCGCTGGGAATTTGGCGGCCTCAAGTGTAAGACCTCGTCGAAGAGGTCTTCTGCGAGAGCCTCCCCCACCATGTTGGCCCAAGAAGCCGGGCTGTTGAAAGAAGACGGTTGAGGGGGGGGGGGGGGGAGGTACAAACCAGGCATCGCAGCGTGGATCCTTCTTGCTGATTTCATGGCAATGCTTGGTTGGGTGTCCCTGCACTATCTGGAGGACATCTGTCAAGTGGACTTGCTTCTTGAATAGCTGCTAGTGGCTCTCACAAGCATGCGTGACCGAGTTTGAGAAACTCCAGGCATTTGAGGAACGCAGCGAAAGACACTCCACCTGAAAAAAGGAAACCACAAACTTACTGGAGCCGAAACACATCCCTCACTCTGCAACCAACCTCCGGAAGAGCCCAGAGGGCCCAGAGGGCCAAGGCCTAAGCGATTAAGCGGCTTCAGTCTTTAGGGGTTGGAGGGCTTGGAAGCCATGGGCTAAAGCACACTCACGAGGTAATTTGTGGGGTTCAGGAGTGAGATATGGGCTGAGGGATAGAGGCACGCGCACGGTTCTATGGTTTCTTTGCGCCTTGGGAGCGCTCAAATTATCAAGCGCGCATGCATGTCCCAGCCATGCAGCAATGATACAGCATCTAACAAATGAATGACGAGGGCCCGGGCTGGTAACCACCTCGACACCAAACATCGCGGCATTTCTATGGGAGGCTCCAGGTAGGGGCGGGGCAGGTGTAATGGGAGTCTCCTAAACTGGATTCGTCGTGTCAGGGTTGCTTCGACTGCTGCGGTGACTTTCGCCCCAACGGCTCTATGCACCCGAATCGAAGTCTTGTTTTGTGCCAACCCTGCTGAGCCTGCGAATGCTTCGTGCGCATGGCTGTGAACGGATCACCCACAATCACCCACAGGCATCGGCTCTTCTGAAATTCCCACTTGTGAATGCCCAGACCAACTAAACGATCGTGCGGCCCCTGAGCTTCACCCAAACAAGCCATGTGGCGCAACCGTTCAAGTAGATGGCACTGCGAGACCCATGCCTACACCGCTTGGGCACATACGGCGCATGCTTCAGCACCTCGTTTTGAGCTGCTCGAAAACTTGCTGCCAGATGTGGAGGAGCGGCACTTGGGAGAGGCTCACAATGGCTCACACCTTGTTCAGCATTCGGCCAAGCCCGCCCCTCAGGGCAGAGGTGGCAGACGCCAAAGCTCCTGGTGCGGAGGGTGGTACCTGTGGTACTTTGCCGGCTTCCGGGCGTTCGTACTGGTGGATCCCACCACGCTCCAACTCACGAATCTTGGAAGCCAGGTTCTGTCGCTCGCGGTCGTGAGCCTCTTGTCGCTCTTGGAGCTTTTGCTGCAGCTGCACAGCCCGGAAGACGGCCTCGGCCACCGGCTCCAGATTGCCCGTGTCGCCACCTTTGTCAGCCAACAGCTGTACTCCCAAGGCGGCATTCATGTCACGGAGCCGCTCGCTCTGCTGGCTGAGGACCGCCTGTGCCGCCTGCTCTCGACACTCGCTCAAAACTCGCTCAAACATTCCCAAACATTCTCAAACATTCTCAAAGAATCATCCCCTTCAGGCAACTGGAGAGCGCACTCCCTCACGACATGCTCACGACACGGTGCTGCCTCAAGGGAGGCATGACGGCCCTCCACGTCACCAAGGCCCTCAAGCTCCGGTGCCAAGGAATCCAAGCGAGCCTTGAAGAGGCTGCAGATCATGCTACTTGTCACACGCTTCCAAGCCCCCAAGCACCCTCGCCTGCATATCGGCACACTCCTGAATCAGCTTCACCCGATCTTGATCGGCTGATCGCCGGGCGTTTTCCTTCCCAGACAGAACCCAACGTGTATGGAAACTGCGATGATTGCCGTTTGCGGGTGAGGCCTCACAATCTGCGGACCACACCTCCTTGCATTTTTGCTTTGCCAGCCCCTGCCAAGGTGGCCAAGGCCCCGGCCAGCCCCCCAACACGTCGCACGAAGCCCTCGGACTGCGATGCGATGGCTTCGCGCAGAGCGCTGCCTGGCAACATCATCCCCACTCGTTCAAGGGCTAAACCCACATGCTCGCCATCAACAAAAGGACATGTTGCGGTCATGGTCATGGTGTCATGGAGCAGAGGCAGTCTCGGCACGCTAGCATTTCACACACATTAAGAGTGTCTGCGCTCGCGGCCTGCATCTTCAAAATCCACACGTGCAGACTGGAGCTCAGCCTTCTCCTGGCTCAGAGCTCACGGCGGAGCCTACAAGACCATTCTTCTTACCTGCCGCTTGAATGATCTAAATCTTGACTGGCACCAGTACGGCGGCAAAGCAGAAAACCGCACACTCCAATGTTTGCTAGGCAGCAGCAGGGAACAATGGAATCAACAATGGAACCACTCGACCTGCCTCGGAGACTTTCTTCAGGCGAGCACTCAACGCAGCCTCACACGATGGGACACCTCAGCACCTCTGCGAAGGCGGCCGCCCGACAACCCGAGCCTCTGCTTTCTCTTGCTGCTGCAGGCGGAGAAACTGCGCAGCAGTGAGACATGTGAGCCAACTGAGAGCTGTCCGCACATAGAGTCTAAGTCTCCTAAACCCTGGTGCCTCGGAGTTGGCCTCCTGCTGGACTTGCGCCAGCCACTCCTTCTCCTTGGGGTTTGGGGGGGCTTTGCGGCTTTGGGGGTGGTTCAGGGCGCCTTTCCGGGGCTCTTTGGGGGGTGAGGTCCTTCTGGCACGCATCATCCAGCTCCTTTTCCTCTTCCTCCATCTGCAGGCCTCGCAGGAGAATTCGAAACTTGGGGGCTTACGGCTTCGGCAAACGGGAACCTTCCGCCGCCCGCGCAGCCCAGGAGTCTGCCAGGGCTTGCCGAAGCCGCGCCGCCTCGGCCTGCACGCCGTCTGTAGACGAAGGTTGGGTGTTTTGGGTGGGGTTTGGGGTTAAGGTTTTGGGTTTACGCTTTGCTTGAGGCTTAGGGTTTATCAAGTTTGTTATAAAGTTTGGGATTTCGTACAGTGGCACAGCGCTGAGCGACTGAAGCGCATGGAACCGGATACACGATCATGATAACGTGCTGATAAATACCATGCAGTGTCATCATTTTGACAATGACCATCAAGCAAAAGCAACAATTCGTAATAACTATCAACATAACAATAAAACGAAGAAGTTCTGAAAGAGAGGATCAGGGCCTCTTGGGTCAGCAACTGCTCTTGCAGTCGCTCTGCCTCCTCCACCGCGCTGGTGAGGACCTGACTGCACGCCGGTCCAACGCATTTTTTTTTTAGGATTTAGGGAGATTGCCAAAAGCTCACGAAATTCCACAGTTGCCTCAAAATGTCCAGATGCACAGGAGCGTCAAGGCAGCTACGTCGCGGCTGACCATCGAGCGGATTTGCTTCTCCCTCGGCTGGCTCACGAATCTCACGTAAAGACGGCGAAAGTTGCAAGGAGGAGCATCGAAGCCAACTAAGTCGTCGCAGCATGGCTCAAGCAGTGTGTGCCACGCAGGTCGTACCCGAGGATAGCACAGAGCAGCTTGTTTGTCTTCTGCGCCTAAGACTTTTAGGCGATGTGGTGATGCAAGAAAAAGTAAACGACTTTGGGATGTGCCACGTGACCCTCGTTTCGTATCCTAACCAGGTTTCCGAGATATTCCCTGACATTTCGCCACTCGTTCTTTAATGCATCACAAAGCATCCCACTTCGCGTTCTTTCTTTCCTTTGGTCGAGGTGGTAGCATCGATGCGACCAGACGCATGCCTCGCGGTCGGTGCGACGGCGCATCTGCACCGCCCCTCCGAACCACAGACCCACACACACACAGACGGGCCTCATCTCTGACGCGTGTGGTTACAAAAGATCGAATGCAAATCCATGGCCGATCTTGCTCCTTCTACAAACAAGAGCTCTCCAACAACTGCATATCAGAAATAAGCGCAACCATCCCGGCTGAGCTATGGACAAATCTCCACGCGAGACCGACAGGCAATGAACCCATTAAAACTCAGGCAAACATTTCAGCTTCGGCTACCCAAGTCAAGAACGCAACGCTGCTACCCCAGGCTGGTTATCGATGTACCAATGCATGGAACAGATCACGGCAGTGCACCACGAACGCCAGCAGCTGGGCATAAACCTCAAGATAGAGAAACATCTCTGTGGGCGCAAGACCGCTGCATCACCTAGGGACTCGCGCATCGATGCTCGTACGTCACTCCGGATTCGACGCGGTCAACGAACCAACAACCACTCCAGAGTCCACAGCATCTTATGTCCGGCACAGAGCCGATCGCTCAGCTCGAAGACTGCATCGATGTAGATGGTGGCACAGTCGCCGCTGGTCGTAAACGGGGTTAACCTGGATTTCTCAAGTGCTCAAGCCAAGCGATCTTCCCGACCAAGCGCGCGTCTCCTCATCGGCACTCAAACTCCCACGGCTCAGTATCTCGTCGATCCGAGTGACCAGATTCTGCCGGATGCCATGGGCCGCTGCTGGGCCTTACGCCGCACCAAACACCGGTTCCTTTACTCTCGGAAGACGACGTGGGATGTAGAACGATGGTGGTGTTCGCGCTGCACGCTGCCTCCTCCACGCAAAGCCGATGACGAACCACACGCTTCGAGACATGCGCAGTAAGGGACTCAGCGAAGCCAAGAACTGGGCCCAAAACCCTCAAAGCATGCCCTCTGAACCTGGTCTGGTGACGCCGTGCCCCCTCGGCGAAAAGGTCAGCAGCCAAGAGCTATTCAAGAGAAGCACACCCCCAGCGAAGATCGTCTCTAAGCCCCAGCCGACAGGATCGGAAAAGAACTGACACTACTTTCGCGTTTCCGACTCGGACCTCGAGCTCACACTCTGCAACAGAACACATCTCAAACACTGCGAGCGGCTGTTTTGGCTCGACACATACCTGCCACCCCACCTGTTTGGGCGGAGTCGGCGGGTGTTTCAAAGACAGTCTTAGCGCAAGCACACGCAGGATCGAGCAGGTTGGTGCGGATAAATGCAGAGCTGATGCTCTGACATGTCGCTGCGTACACTACGTGCGCACGCGGCTTCGGCTGTATAGAAACTCGCATGCCAATGTCACTTTACATCAACGTTTAAGCACTTCAAGCTCCAAGGAAGAATGCAGAGCTCGATTTGGGACAAGTCACCGGTCAGCGCCGCAGCCAGGTCTTGCCTCGCCTAGCATGTTGGGTTTGGGGCATATGAAGCTGAAGCCACTGTTAGAAGCATGGAAGATCTGAACGCTGAACTACCAGCACTGACAAGCGAGCATCTGCCCCGCTTGCACGTGCGGAATATGTCCACAACGACCCCCAGTATCTCCCAGACGCACCTTCAGAGCCTGGGACAGCTCCCCTCGACTCGCAGCCTGGAGAAAGGAAACGATCCTTTGCATTTAGGAGTTTAGGGTTTGGTGAAGCTTCAGTGATTGGTGCTCTTGAAATGTAATCTCCAGTCCCTTCCGACAGGCATGTGCTCATTGGCAAATGTGCTCATGGCCTCAAGGTAGACCTCGAGCTACTAGAATTCGGACCGGGACAACTAACACAACATACACAAACTAGCGGCCCTCACCAACCCATCGGGGCCTCGCGAGCGTTGCTGGCACCCTCGCACTCAAGGCTGGAAAGGCATCGCATCGGTTCTTTCCAAGCACTGTCGTCAGCAAGCTCCCTCATCAGAAGGCAGACATGCCAGCACTCCATTCAGGGCTACTGCAAAGGAAGTTTGCCTCCGCTCGCCGCTGCTCGTCAACGTCAGCTGCCTCGGCAAGTTCAGCGCATGCAGCTGTCAGCATCACCGTGGCTGGCAGCGGGCACATCGATCAACTTGAGCACGACCCAACCCAAAGCCCCAATGGCAAAGCCACCTTCAACTCCAGCATGCTGCAGTGGTTCTTCCGGGGATTTTCCCATTACAGCATCGCAGCCTACAATAGACTCCAAGCTCAAGGCAATGGATGTCTTCTTTGCAGAAAGTTTCTCAATACTTCGCTGCAATGCCTGAGCTGGCATGCGAGTGCTTCAGACACATTGGGACACTTGAGGTCTTTTTTGGGATCCTTGGGATTGTCGGTTTGTTTGGGTGTGCTTGCTTTGCTTCGTGACTTGACGGTTGTTCGAAATTGCTTCGCGGCAAAACGACCATTCTTCGCGAAAAGCTATTTGTCTTTCGCGGGCCCATCGCGGACTTTCGCGGACCCTCAGTTCCATTATCTGATGGTCGCCCCAGTATAACTCGAAGCCAAGGGGGGTTTTGAACAACCCTCACTTAGCGTCGCCTTAGTGTGCCCTTTTTTTCAAGCCTTCCGGCTAGCCCCCAGAAACGACAAACGACTCGGGCTACATTACTAGTATTACTAAGAGGATCATGAAAGATATTCTAAATAATATTTCTGAACCTGCGATGGGTCCTTTTCTGTATTAATACTATTCATTGAATATTGTTCAGATTATGAAAAATATTCATGTTATTAATACGATTAAGATTTTTGTGATGATTTTTATCTCCAGCCTCCATCTCCTTTTCGGTGGCATCGCGTCGGCTGCGCAATGGGCTCGAGGCCTCTGCCTCAGGATTCACCCACTTCTCGCCCAGCCCGTGCTCCGCAGGATTGCCAACGAGGGCTCCCAAGTGAATTGTGGAGTTTCTCTGAGAGGTGACCTTCGGACACCCGTCGTACCCTCGCACCCCTCGCCTCGGCGACCCTCCGCTTGTTCTCTGCCAGGAGCTCCTCGCACCTAGCGAGGGGGTGCAATCGGGCGACTTCTTGAAACTCTCTTGAAGCACAGGCCACCGCCGAAGCCGCTTTTGTAGAGCAGGGATTCCGCAGGAACTTGCGGATGGTGTCTCATGTTGTCAAATGTTGTCAATCGGTCAAAGCACAGTTGTCGCACGGCTGGGTCTGAAAACACAACATGGCAGCTTTGGCCACACCTTGTGTTGGACATGTTGCACCGGTGACCGAACAATGCCAGCACCTCTGCGAGGTCTGGAGCCATTAACGAGTTGCGCGCCCTTCAGGGCCAGCACCTCTGCGAGGTCTGTCTGGAAACATTAACGACTTGCGGGCCCTTCAGGCCATTCGGCCGATGGGTGCCCTGAACCTTGCAACACGCGTGCTGTGAAACGCACTGCACATTTTAGCAAGGTCACTTAAACAATGTTCTGCCTGGCCGCACTCTTGGCATTGCCAAACTGGCCATGCCAGGCGTCGGATCTTGTAAGTACGACGAAAGAACTTAGCAGGCTTGTTTTGCCAGGATCGGGCATCACGACGCTACTGAAGGGAGCCAAGTGAAGGTGCTGTTCTCAGTCGCTTGAGTTGCGAGAAGCGCTGCTTCTTGGCGAGCATTGCCTTAGCAACCGACACGGAGCCAATCACTGTCTCTTGCATGATCTGGCTGCTACTTCGGTAGGTCTGCATGGTCTGCTCGTTGGGCAAGTCAGAGACTGTCCGTGGCTAGAATATCAACCCAGCCAAGGCCCTTGCCTCTTGATCCTCCACCAGCCCACCCATGTCGAGGAAGTAGCCTCTCTTGTAAGCTGCACAATGACAGGAACCAAAAGTACGTTGAATTGTCAGACATGGCCGTTGGTAAGCTAGTTGCTTTTCATGTTGTTCATCATCATGATGTCCGGAGTATAGCTTGAACAGTCCTGCATGTACGGACATGCGTGGAGTTCTCACTTGGTTGCCTCAGGTTGTTCACCTTACCGCAGCAAGCCATTTCACACTTGCGAACGCCCAATCTCCTCGATGAGCTGATAGAACGACCTTCCGAACGTCATTTGCAACGCGCAATTTGCAAACTTAAAGACGCGAGCGAACACATGAAAAATGACATACTGTGCCCATTGTGACTCGGACTCGCGTATATCCACTCTCGTCACAAGCAAACAGCGCTGGGAATGCGGCCGCCATTGCTCAGAGCCCGCCGGAACATCTTGGCCGAAGCAAGCCATGCCATCACCATCAGAACATGCAGGATGTGCAAGGCACGCATTACTAAGTCGCTAATTTCTTTGGACATCTCGAAGCCCGGGGCTTGAGTTCTCAACTCGGATCCTCAAATACCCTTCACACTAGGGCCACGAGAAATCCTTTTAAACAGGTCTCCTAAGATGCTGCGTGGTGCGAACACATTCGATGATGCAGAAGTCCTGGGCTCGGGCGCTGTACCGCAGACGTCTTGCTAGTCTGCTGCAGAAGGACGAGGTTCGCAGTCTCCTTTTGCAAGATGTGCGAAGGTTGCCCCCACAGTAAGCACACGAATCAGATACCAGACAGACTTCATGAACAGCAGCGAAGTACTAGGTTGCCCGATTTCGCCAGCACTGGGGCCCACTGACTTGAAATCATGGAACACCGCAAAACAGCACTGTTTCGGGTGCGGCCGCCCTTCATCGGGAAACTTTGGAAGCTCGGCCATGTTGAGCAGAACTGCGTCCGTTTCCACGCGACATGCGCATCCTGCTCCTCCTTAACGTGTGCCCTACGAACTCGCTATTCCGGCCGGGCACCCAATCCCCCTACTATTCACTGATCACCACACCTTGCACGAAAACCCAATTGCAAGGATTTAAGATAGCAGTGTTCGAAGTTGAGCACTTTGCCACGTTGCTGCTGTTTTTACGCTGATTCAGAATTCCTGGTCCGATGGAACAGGTTTTGAGTGCAGGGTTAGGGTTTTGGGCAGCACACCGGGATTGTGCATTTCACTTGATGCAACAGAGAGAAGGCATAGCCCTCAGTGCTGTTTGTGGTCGATGCTTAGAGTTTGGTGGTTTCCTGCAAACCTGACCTTGTCCGAAAAGAACAACATACCCCCGGTGAGGTTACAGGGTTTTGGCTTAGCACAGGAGATGCTTATAACTCAGCAGGAGAGAAGAGAATAACGTTCTCAAGCCCCTCCAACCCACACCCAAAACGGCCGTGCTTGCACGGCTCAAACCAAGATGACGCCTCGGCGCAGACCTCTGCCGACAGAGACTCGCGCAGGCTGTCATCCTGAAGAGGATCACAGACGGTGAGCCCTCACTGGCCCATGTTTCAACTGTGGGAGCTGCACAGCAAGGCAGCCCTGTGCACTCCTTTACGAGCTTCAAAGTCTCAAGCTTTTCGCTGATTGCCTGGCGGCGCTACCCGAAAGCACGTGCAAGTGTGACAGGACGGGAGGGCAGCTATTTCCAAAGCTGCACCAAGGTGGACTAGCAGCTAACATCTGCCATCGTCCCCACCTCGGTGATGCGGGCACCCTCTATCTCGAGCGGCTCCTCAGCACTCACCTGGGGGACATTGCATTCAACTTCGCTCAATTAAACCACTCCCTGGCCTGATCCACCAGCTTACTGCTGGCATTCAAGTAGCTCAGCGGCCTGAACACGCAAGATGACGGTAGAACGGTAGATGGACTGTAGACAGACTACTGAGTACCTGTGACAGAGGTTCGCAAGATGGCGCGATGGTTCCATTGCTCAGGGTGGAACTCCTCGAGGCTCCCCATCGGCAGCGGCTTTGGCAAGCCCATGATGCGAACGCGCTCGCGCACCTCGCAGGAGCAAAGGTTGCATGGTGTATGCAAAGCGCATGAAAAGAACTACTTAAGAATACCGATCGCGCTTAGGATATCAAGCCGGGCCCGGTCTGTCCCGAGGCAAGCAAGGACCTTTTCTGGCCGTTCGGCTGTCATTTCTTGGTCCGAACCTGTACTACAACATTTGTTCAAGGATGAGGAATTGAGAGTTTTTTGAGAGCTTTGAGAGGGTTGAGTGGCCCAGGGTTCAGATCCCCCCTCAAGTCGAGGCCGTCCCCTTCGGCCCTTCGGCCCCTTCGGGCCTCCTCCCGGAGGTCCACCGCAAAGTCGGTGAAAGGCCCGAAACTGGGCGACTTCGGTAGGGCGAGCGGAGGAAGTCTAACCGTGAAGGGCGAGCCCGTGGAAATGCCATGTGCAAGCTCACTTCATATGGCTGCCCATGACAGACCGTGGGGTCCACCTAGCTTGCCGAAACTCAAGAAAATCCTCCTCGCAACATTGCGTGGACAACGATGGCATTCCAAACCCAAACAGCCCCGAAGCCCCAGAGCCCCACTCAACGCCTCATTCCAGAAGCCTCAACGGAAGCAGCCCAAGCAAAACACCCGAAAATTCCTGAGCTCGGGCTCCTGGGAGGCCCCGGCTGCGCCCGCGCCTCGAGCTGTGCACGGGCCTCCCTTCCCTCGGACCTGGCGGCGTGGGTATTCGGGTATTCAGGTCTCAAACTGTGGTGGGTCTCATTTCCTGTTTAGCAAAATATACAGGGGTTGGAGGGGGTTCAGTGCGGTTTCGAGCGTAGGGGTTTGGTTCAGGGGTAAGTTTAAATAAGACGAGTGTGCTGGCAGCTGGTCATGTCTGACCTCGTTGCCCTGACATCTTGGCCAGGGGCGGCCGGGGGGGGCCCACGGGGGGGCGGGTGGAGAAGACTTGCAGGTGATGCTCTGGCCAGTGACCTAGATTCAGATTCCTAGATGTCACCGTCACAGCGCAGAAAGTCCCGTGTCAACAACGCACCGCAACACAGCCGGCATTGCGACACATCTGCTGGAATGCCATCTGCAGCAGCTGCGCAGCCCACCATCGCCGCCAGCCTCAGAGCAGCCGAACCATAAGCTTCACTAACATTGGATGGGTCAACATTCACACTCGTGTAAATGAAGTCACGAACTCAAGACAGCATGGCGAAGGATTATCCGCTGGGCATCCAGCTCGGGAATTGAGATGCCTCCCACAGGCCTCAAGTGCTCACAAGAAGGCCCCTCACGCCTTTGAGAGTAAGGAACTGAGCCGCCAGCGAATGCCTGGGTATGCCTTGACTGCTTGAGTCTTCCAAGAGGTCCAGCAGGCTAGAAGCCTTGACCTCCAGAAGAATCGAGTCAGAGTGACCTCCGCAAACATAAGAGATGACCGACCTCAACTCCGGCAAGTTCACCATACACTTCTGACAGCACCTTGGCCCCACAAAGCAGATCTTGTGCGGAAGGGCGGGGAAGGCCAACAAGACAGCCGCTGCTTGCATTGCGCACCAACCTCGCCTAGGGCACAAGCCTTGAAACCCGGACCCCAAGAATGTTCCCACTTCCTGTCACATCAAAGCCTACGATTCCTGAAGTCCCAGGCCCGCTAGTCCCAAACCATCCTCAGATGTCCCACAAGGGAAAGTCTTGGCACCTGCGTGATTCTCGCCTCAGGGAGCCGTAGCTGGTGCTTGGAGGCTTCGGCCAAAGGCCTCGTGCCAAGGCCGCCTCGGGAAAGGTTTCCTTCCTTCGGGTGCTTAGGGTCTGCTGAAGGGAGAGGGTTTTGCGGCTTTGGGAAAAAGTGCAAACTGGACACAAAGCACTTCGTACAGGTAAAGACCCATGGAGTTGAGATGCGTGCCCTAGCACGCGTGAGTATTCCAGCGTGAACTCGGGCTGTGCGAAAACTGTGAGAGCAGAAGTTACCCCGCTGTTACCTACCTTTGGAGACCGAACCCGACTCCAAAACTGCCTCCAATGCCACAGGAGATGGCGGCCAGGGGAGCCTCGAGAGAGTCAGAGACGCCCACTAACCTCTCAAACCTCTCAAACCTCTCCAACCCCTCAAACCCCTCAAACCCCTCAACCCCCAAAGAGTTAAACTGAGCTGGTGGCAAGCATGGCTGCCTCAGATCACTCGAACGGGAAGCTTAGAAATGTCACGAAACGTGCACTGGCATGCATCATCACGTGGCGCTCCTTCCACCCTGGGTCCTACACCCTGACCCTAAACCCGACAATATAAGCCCGACCACATCTTGCTTTGTGAGTAAGTTGAGCTATCATGTGGCATTACCGTGGGTGGTTCCTAGCCTCTTTTCCCCCCATAGACCATAATCCACGTTCATAGGACCCCGAAAAGGTACCTTTTGAACATTTCGGTGTGTTCCTGTATTGTTACAATAAGGATTAAAATATTTGGGTGCATATTGAGGGGACCTCTATGTGGGGTGTTTTGGGAAATGAGGGACCTGGGCGAGGGGGGAGGGGGTCCAACAATGAGTATTCTCGCATTTGGGTTGCAAAAATAAGGGGGAGCGCTATTTGGGAACCCCCTGAACCCTAAACCCTTAGTCCTAAACCCTTGACACCCCCTATAGCATATGACCCCCTTTACAAGGGCTCAAGACATGGCACCCCCTGAGTTTCGGAAACCCCCCCCCCCGAACCCAAATTGTGAGAAAGCCCCACTCGATGCCCCCAGCCTCCTTCCGGGAGGCGGCGGCCATTGCTGCCAAGCCAGGCCTTGCGGAACGGTTTGCTTCCACCTTTGGGCTTTAGGGCTTCGGGTGTCGGGGGTGTACGGTTTAGGCTCCCTGCTTGGGGAACCGTCTATGTCACTACGTGAAGAAAGGGTCTAAATGGGGTGGCCTAGTTCGGAGACAAGCCACCAGCATCATGAACCACGACGTGATTTTGGTTGAAGCCAGGCGGCACCGACGCCGAAAGCAAGGAAGACTCCCTGCTTCCATCGACCAACTCAGACCTCAGAGGCGGTTCTCAGAGCGGTTCTGTCTCGGCTGGGCTGCGGAACGTGGCTAAGGCGACTGAGTGCCTTGCCACGCTTGTAGCTCTGGGGTCAGGTTGCGGTTCAAGCCCAGGTGCCTCCAAACTCCCAAGCGGGCAACGCATTCAGCGGAAGGGGTCTCACTGAAAGGATCAAAGACTGGAGGGCTTGAAAGGCTTGACTTGGCTTCGTGGTTCTCGTGCTATCATTTTTGCAAGGATTTGCGCGTCCATTCGGATCATGTTGGTTCCAAGCTTCGGATCATCGCCGCATGTAAGGCACATCTGTCTCGAGAGGATGGGGAGAAACCGGCGGACTTCGGTTCACGCGCCCTGTAGGGGGCCAAGGGCAGCGGAAAACAAAACAAACCCAAGCAGATGCTTCTTTTGCGCACCTCCGCGAACCTTTGGCGAAGCAGAAGTAACACTTGTATGGTGTCGTCATGGCATTGATTTAAAAATACTTAAGATTTACGACCAATCATCGCCGGATTCGGCAGGCATGGACAGGGCGCTGTGAGGAAGAGAGAAAGTGCCGAGTAAGAAGGTGCTTGCTCGTCACTAGACTCACTGGACTCTTTCGATACAAGAACGCGTGCTAGGGTCCGGCGGGAGCTTGTGGGTGGGGAGGTAAGGGGAAGATGACCCTGACATGAGAGGATCGAAGTGGGCACTGAATGGAAGCACGACCGTGAGACCATGTGGCCTCGCTTGCCACGCTGGCAGCTTCTGAGCCTGGCACAAGGACTCACAAACCAAACTGAGGAGAGGGAGGGGGGAGGAGGCGGAGTGGGGCGAACTAATGGGGACTGACCGACTGACCGTGTTTGGTGTTCCGTTTGGCATCAAAATAGGCCATTCCACCTCTCGCGCATGCTTGAGGGCCGTGGTCGCAACTGTGGAACTCAGCACGCTCAAGTCCTCCAGGACCTCGCATGCAAGCTGATTCTTCGAGATCTTCATGATGCAAATACCGCATCGACTGCGGAGCAGGCAACGGAGGGCGAGAAGTTCTTGAGCATGTGCCAGAAGATCGGATCAGGCTTGCCCGAACCTCTGAGATCCTGCATGACATGGCAAGGGCTGCGACACTGCTCCAAATCAGCCCAAACCTGTGCCATCCTTCGACCCTCGACCTCACCCTCCCCAGCGCACCACGAAGCTGAAGAGGAGCGCGGTGTCCTGCAATCACAGCCGGGGCAGTTTAAGTTTGCCTGGACTCCATCAAGCCACAGGCTCACCAGAGTCTCACAGCTCTACGCCTCTACGCCCTCCGGAAATTGAACTAACGTCATGTCTTCACAGCTACAGTAGGAAATTGAACAAATGTCACGTTGAACCTACGCCGGAAAAAGGCCCTTCCGGGACAATGGCGGAGAGCGACAAACAAAACACGCCTTCTCCGTGAGCTGCAGGACGTCATATGTCCTGGAGACGCAGCTTAAAAGCCGCTGGAAGACATTTTGCACTTGCAATCACGGAGGTTGTCGGCAGATTGCTGGCAGCTTGCACTGTGCGCGGGATGAAACAGCACAAGCTTCGACCCTCTGTAATCTCTGCACATGATGCACGCGACATAAGGTGAATCACCCCTGCTCCTCTGAAAGTCGTCTGGGACGACCTTTCTTGAGATCTTTGGGTCCTGCTTGTACCTCCACATGAGAGCATGGGCCACGAAGCTACCGCTCGTGCCACGGCTATCTCGCGGGTCCTTGTCGTGACCCCATTGTGGGGCTACCGATTGCCCAAGAAAACGTACGCACACATGCAACAGACAAACAACAGACCATGGGAGGTGTCATTGGCCCAGTTTCGTGAAAAGCCACATGGAAGCTTAGCGGACCCAGCTAAGGCGCAATGTGTACTTGAAGGCCCAGCGAGCACCCAGAAGCTATCGTTCCCTCACAATGCACAGACAATTCGCAATTTGGAGAGGGGCACTGCAGGAAGTTGCTGACGATTGTCATAGCCAACGACTCTAGGCTTGCCTGCAAAGGGGTGCTGTTGAAGAACGGTTGTCTTTGTAAGCTCTCGTGGCAGACAGGAGCTTGCTGCCTTCTTATTCACAGATCGGACTTTGCGAATCACCTTCGCATAGAACAGCCTGAGCTTGCTCCTCCGAAGCCAAGAGTGCTTCTAGAACAAGAACTGCAGGATCTGCTAAAGATGATGCTGTACTCAATTCTTGCCGCAACGTACCTCTTTAAATAAGACCGTCAGTGTCAGTCGAAGCTTGGAAAAAAGGTTTCTTTCCCTAATTCCAACAAAGAAGTCAAGGAGTCAAAAGCAAGGACAGCACTAAACCAAGGCAGCAAGACAAACATTGGTTGCAGCAGACCATGAGGGAGAGCTCTAACAGCCCCACGCCCGGGGGGGAACGAAAGCCAGAAGCTATCCGAGCCAATGGCGACATGATATTGACCCTCTTATGATGTTCGAAGCAAGGAACACATGTCTCCTCAGATGCTCCATCCTGAGCGTAGGCTTGACAAGCTTGAGCACGGTCAGAAACTTCTTCCTCGAATCAGACACCAATCATCCTACAAAACCTCTTCATTGACTGGCTCACGCGTAAGAACACAATGCAAAAGCCCATCCAAAACCCCCAAATAAATTTACCTGGCTCAGAATGTGGCATAATTTTAGGGGGTTCATTGGCACCATTGATCACTTTTCATGCGTTCGTATCTTTCACACGTTATTTAGTATTTATATTCATGAGCCGGGCGAACACGTGGCTTATGGCCCGATTATAGTGCTACATAATATTACTATAGGGCGTGCAAAATGGAAGTCTTACAAATGGGCACGCCTTGTAAATTACTAATCAAATCCAATAATATAGCGGGCAAAGAATGAGTCTTTTAGTAAGCCCACAGATATTAGGTACAGCACAGAATTTGTATTTTGAAGCGTACAGAATTTGCACAACTTACCGGCAGCATCAACAGTCGAAAACTGCGCGCGAATGAGCACAAGCTGCACGGGACCAACCACACAAGCTGCTTCGCCTTGTCATCTTCCCTTTCAGGTCATAATCGCAGAGCCTGAAGAACCTTCGTCCCACTGGATGCATATGTGATGTCACGGCCGAAGTGCAACAACCGCCTATGAAGAGCATCAGGAGCATAAGCATCACTCCCCTTCCCAACCACTCAACCAACCTCTCACCGAAGGGGCGGAATGGGCCGCAGATGCACCACGTGATGTTTCTAATAGGCTTGTTTAATCACAACCATCAAAGATCACGAACCGGTGGTAGCCCGCCTCTTTGCCTCATGCACGGACATATTCCAGTGTTCTCCGGCCTGGCGAAAGAGAACAGACCGAACTGCTTGGAACTCGTGAGTACTCGCCTGGGCGACAAACTTGCTCTGATCAAGAGGTGCCTGGCTCAAGTCTTGTGAGCACACTCCCAGCGCTTGTCGCATGGAGCGAATGCTTTGCAGCCTGTGTGACAATGTCCTCCATGGGGTCATAGGCTTTGTCAACATCGGCATATATCCTCGACAGTTCTTGGCATAGACAGTTCGGAAAGCAAACCTCCCAGCCCTTCGGCACCCTCTAGGCGGCCAACGTCTCCAGGCGCTGCCGCCATTCTTCGAGCAGCAGACATGGGGAGACCTCAGAGAGCCACAGAGAGCCACGCAGTGCAGTAATGCACATACTCCGACATCCATCCCAAAAAGGATTCGACAAGGGCTCTTCCTGGGACTCACGCAGAGCTCAGGGCCGCATACAGCTCGGCAAGGGAAACCTGAGCGTGTCCCTGGAAATTATGCATAATGTGGGCATTCGTGACTTGTTTGCAGCGGAAAAGAAGCTGCTTGCCTCAAGATCAAACATTGATCTTGACAAGCTCTGCTCACTGAAAGATACGCTAAGCCCCCCCCCCCCCTCCCGCTACCTGAGTTTCCCTCCGTGCTTGCCATGTTCGGTGCGGCGACTGCCTGGGCTGCACGGGCGATTTGCAAAGCTTGGGATAACATCGCCTCGGCTGCAATACAATGACCAGCTTGGTGGCCAGCCGAGAAGATGTAAAGGTGCTCCTCCCACTCCAGCACACCGACTTTGCTCCTGTAGTCAACCAGCAACGTTTTTGCTGCCACGCCGGCAAGATTTGTCAAGTGCCCAAGATCGGACTAAGCTCACGGCAACAGATACCCGAATTGGTGACTATTGTAGCGTCGAGAGGCCCAATTCGCTCGTGGCGCCTGAGTTGTCAGAAGAAAGACAAGCGGCGCACTTTTGCAAGAGTTGTCTCCATTGGATTCTATTGGCCTACCCACCACCATGATCATCAGCAGATGGAGACTGTCACTGCCCGCTGGCGTGGCTCGACATACTTTGCACTTTCCGGGCACCATGAGTTCCATCGCCCGGCACGCTGAGCCATAGCCCAGCGCAATCCACCTGGCTGTTTTTTTGCTTCTTGACGTGTGGATTTCGGCATTTGGAGAAGCATGTCTTGAAACGTTGCGAAGTTGCTACGTGCTTGGAACGTTGTCCTGGGAAGCGGAACTCCTGCCCTGCCTGCAGCGAAGGTCGGCCAAGCAACGTACTGGGGACATCGCCTGCCATGATGGTCTCAAGCAAAGCTCAAGCCCCTAAATCCAAAAACAGCGCCCCAAACCCTCGATGTTTTACCCTTGTTTCGAGCTGGACAGCCACCTCGATCACAGCGTAAAACTCGCCCAGGGAGATCTCGCCGCTCCTGGGCGAGTCTTGAGAGGTGATGCGAGGACGCAGCACAACATACTCGGATGGAGATGGAAAGCTTAGAGCACTGAGGATGCAAGGTCTCGAGCTTAGGGTGCGGCATCCATGCCCGCACGATGACTACGTCCATGTTACCAGTGCGTGCGAATGGCCAGCACATCCATGCCCGCTTGATGATTACGTCCGTGATATAAGACTTTCTGGAGTTAGGATTTGCGGGATCGGGTTTGAGGATATGCAAAACACAAAAGAGCTTATGGACTTAGGCTTTCTAATCCCAGGAGTTGCAACGTTTCGAGATTGAAGAATTCGGGGCTAGGGGCTTAAGACTCTACGGATGTTGTATGCAATGTGCACTTGATTCAGATGTCATACATCCAAACCACAACCCGGTGCTAATCAAAGATGTTGATGCAATGTTACTTCGCGTGCGCCGTTGTTTGTGCCGTGTTCTGTGAAAACTTCTTTGAACTATGTGAGACCCCAAATTGTGTTGAAACGATCGAAAACGCTGTAAATACGGATGTAAACACTTCGGTTGTGACAACCTGTGCTCACATGTTTCAGCTTCGAGGGAGCTGCTAGCCTTCTTGCTGGGTTGGCGTTGCTGCTGCTGTTGGTTTTTGTTTATATTCTTCGTATTCGTACTAATATCTCTGCCCAGAGAGGGTGGGGATGTTCGAAGTAAAAATAAGTGTTCTTTTTTTGCTATTGTTTTTGTTGATACTCTTGCTTTTGTTCTTGCCTTTGCTCTTCTTCTAGTTGCTGTTGCTGCTCGTGTCTTTGTTGAGCCCTGCCACCCTTCCGACAAAACAAGGACGAAGCATGCACCCTGCACGCTGCACCCATACCTGAGTCCTTGTCTGCTGTGGGCATGGCCGACGGAATGGACCCCAAGAGAATGAGAAAACTCAGCAAGCTCAGCTATCTGCCCATCCGTGTCGAAAAAGCGGAAGATGCCGGTGTGATCCTTGCAATGACTCAGAAAGCCTCCGCGAAAGACTCGAAAAAAATGCAAAGTGCTGCCTCCTTCGGGATGTTCTTGAAATGCTTGGTCAGAAACGCGCAGAACCTCGCACATAAACCAAGAATTGTCTCTAGACTCTCAACTTTGCGATTTGGCCACCGGACCAAGCCGAAGGACTCGGCACTATGCGTTGGAAGCGAAAAGTGGGGAAGCCCCCATGTTTTAAATGCTCTTGAGCCTAGCTGCTAGCTGCTGGCTCCTTACAGCGCTTAGAAGGCATGATTCTGCTGAGAAGTATACTGTCCAGTCAACCTACGAGCTTGGCAAACAGCATCGGCTGGAAGCTCATACGCCTTGGGCGCTCGCTGCTCTTGCGGGAGCTCAACGTCCAGCATGTCGCCAGTCCCTCACGAACATGCATCCAATCCAATCCAATCCACGACCCTCACTTGTCTGAGGCCCGCTCAATATCGAAGTCGCTTGAGCTCACGGATGGTCCCAAGAAATGCCTGAGGCGCTGGTCCCTCGCTTCAACGGGTACTGTAGCAAGCTCGACTAAGGCTCAGACATCGAAGGCGCGCTTGGTGGTACAGAATCTGCGTTCGAAGACAGTTCGAGACTTCATTGCATGATGGGCCCGCCCGACGCATGTCAGAATTTGCGCACAATGCAAAACCAAGGAGATCCAAGGAGTTGCAAGCGGCCTCTCCAGCAACTTCTGCCGAGAACCTATGACAAGCACCATCGGGCTCAAGATTCCTTCAATGGCTTTTGGGCCTTTGAAAATATAGAGTCTTATACTAGCCGTTTCAACTGCACACGCACCGACACAAACACCAACAGCACTCAATACTCACCCGCCGCCGCCTCAACCCACCGCGCGTGCGTCCCGAACTTATCTTTCCTCTCTACCCCCCGAAGCTTGCTCAGACCCTAAACCCTAAAACCCTGAACCCTGGACCCCGGACCCTGGACTCGGGAGTCGCTCACGAGGAGCCCAGAACCTACCTCCATCCCAGGCGCCTTTCAGCTGCATCTTCCATGATGAGGACCCTGACAACAACATGGGCTTAGGCTTTAGGGCCGTTGGCGAGGGTTTGTGAGGGACATTGCTTGTGCAAGGCTGCGACAAGCACTGCTTTAGCCATCCCCGACCCTGAAGAATGTGCTGAGTGCGGACGCCTTGGCTGGAAATGGAGATGCAGCTGCTGCGGCTGTTGGCGGAACCTCAAGGCCAGGACAGGTCTAGCTGTTTCGGAATTTAGGGTCGAGTACCCACCCGGAGAGATCGGCAGCTAAGCACAAAGTGGCACATGGTGGCACGCCACACATCGCCACACGGTGCCTGCGCGCATGCCCGAGCCGAGCTGCGGCGATGACGCCCGCGAGCCTGCCTGGGAGAATCAGAATCAGAAGTTCACCACACACACACACACATCTCGTGCATGAGCGGTCCGTGACTTCGCTGTAAAGAAACCAGGGCCATTCAGGGCCTCTGATGGGAGCAGCTTCGTGGTGACGGCTGAATGAGGGCCTCAGTGCTACAATGCATCCCCTGACAGCACAAGGCCACCTGCTGAGCTCAGCATCATGCTAGCAACGTAGTTGCTGGGATAGATCTGCTCCTCACCGCAATTCCGCCAGGGGTGAAGGGATGGAAGGTGTCCATGCATCTCAAGATGTCTCAAGGTGTCAAGTACTTCTGACAGGTTTTTGGAAATCCCTGGGCTCCAAGTAGCTGTCCACAAAAGGTTCACCTGGAAACTGTTGCCGTCGAACAGCCTCGGAGGGCTCAGCGGCCCGGCAGAAGTGGTATCTGAGAGGCTGGGAGGACTGTCAGTTTTAGTCTCACTAGCCTCTTTCTCCGCGGAGCGAGATGGAAGTTGAGTCGCCGCTGGTCCCTGCACGGAGCCCGAACAGCAAGAGAACCATCACGAGCTGGAGACAATCTTTGCTGCAGCGCCTCGCCAACAGCTGGCTCGAGCGCAGCACCTGGCCGGAAAAGAGCCACAAAAAGTCCCCTTCTGTTGAAGAACATACTGGAGCGGCTTAAGACAAGTCAGGGCACCTCCGCTCTTGGCTCCAGCCAGGCCAAGCTGGCCCCACTCCTTGCCAGTTGCTACTTGAATGGAGGACAACTAACACAGGAAAGCTCTCCATTTAGTGTGGCTCATTGCTTCCCCCCCTCCCCCAATTCTCCCACGGCCCACCCACCCACCCACCCACCCCACCGCCAAAACCCTGAAATCTTAAACCTCAAAAGGGAGACAGTCACGAGGATGGCGACTTCGAACCGCACGGCGAGAGCGCGGTTTCCAACTTCAAATCCCCCTAGTCTGGCCACACGCAGCAAACTGATCCAACGGCGCAAAACGCAGGAATCCACGTGCCTGCCACGTTTTCAGGACGCGCAGCGATGCAAGCTGCAAAAAAGTGCACGCCTACGGGACCTAGCCTAGGCTGACAGCACGATTTCGTAAATACCACAAAATGCGCACGGGCGAGAGCGCGATTCGGCACCATACACGAAGCCAAAAAGCAATTTGCGATGCTTCAAGGCCCCGAGAAATCTGTGTCATCCGTGCTGTGGACAAAGTACGATTTTTGTCCAACATGCGAGCACCGCTCGAGGAACAGCGTTCTATCGGATGCGTTTCGAACGCGCCGCGTGTGCGCACCAACCTAACCCCCCCTTGACCCTGAACGTAACAACACCCAGTGTTGGCAAAAAATGTTGTTGGGGAGAAAGCCACAACGATCTGCGGCGCCTGGATCTGCTCGTGGGGGCACTGCCTTTCGCGCACGGGGGAGAAGGATTTCCGCCGATACTTGATCGTAGAGTGTGTGCTTCAGAATTGGTTCTGACAGAACTTTGATGACATCCTTGCAGTTTACTTCCGACTGGTACAGAACGTGACAGACAATGTGGCGTCAGTGGTTCGGGCATTGAACATGGCAGCATCCTCTTTTTCAGGAGTCGACCTCCATACATTTGCAACGTCGAAGCCTTTGTTTTAAAGGGTCAGTTGAAGTTGAATGAGAATGACACGAAGCGCCCTTGGACCTAAGCTGCTTGGCCAGGTTCCCCTGACAGCAGCTCGGCTGGCATAGTTGCCGCCATGGCCTGCTCTCCGAGCAGGGGCTGCGAGATGCCACAACCATCGCAACCACAGCCAGCGCAAGCTCCCTGGCAGCCACAACCAGACAAGCCACCCAAGGCACTCATGTCCGTGGGCATGCAGCCACCACAACCATTCAAGCCACAACCACACCCTGCACATCCACAGCCACAGCTGCTACAGGAACCGCAGCCACAACCACAGGCTCCGCAGCCCGCGTCAAGTCCACCGCAGCCACATGCCCCACAGCCAGAGCAATCTCCGAGGCCACTACAGCCGCAAGCTCCACAGCCAGAGCAGTCACCCAGACCGCAGCCGGTGCAGGCTCCACAGCCGGCACAGGCACCGCACCCGCCGCAGCCGCAGCCACAACCGCAGCCAGGGCACCCGGCGCAACCACTGAAGCCAGCGCAGCCCAGTTGAGGCGCCATCCCTCCCATCGCGCTCATGTCACCGAGGCCCATGCCAGGCATTGCTGTCATGCCAAGGCCAGCACAGCCCAGGTTCATACCTCCCAACATGCCATTCTGAGCATATGGGTTGGTAAGCTGGGTCACATCAGTCCGGACTGGTCCATATCCAGCATGACCAGGCGAGGTCAGCGGCATGGATCCACCAGTTACGTTCTTTGCGACCATCTGACCTGGTCTGTTGATGCTGGGCTCGACATCGTAGGTGACCACGTCGCCGGGCTTGGGCATGGAGCCGACGCACTGCTTGACATGCAAGAACACATCCGGCCCTCCATCCTCTACCGCGATGAAGCCGAATCCTGTCTGGACGTCTGCAAACCACAAAAACCCTCAAATCCCTAAAACGCCTTCCTGAAACCCGACAACCCAAAAACCTAAACCTATGGAAGCAACATGACAGCAATGACAGCAATGACAGCAATGACAGCAATGACAGCTGAGCAAAGCTGAGCCCGCTTCTTCACACCGAGGGGGTCCTTTCTCGGCGTTGAAGGTTTTGACGGTTCCTTGCCTCGTGCCCAGGCCTGAGCTTTGAGCTACGCAGCTTCTGAAGCCTCATGGATATCTCGTCAAAATGTCAACCTCGTGCCAGCCTTGTCAATGTCATACGTTGCCGACAAAAATCGAAGTCACGGCTGTCATACTTGCACATGTTGTGGGAGCGGGGAGAGGTAGAGGGGAGAGATTGGAGAGATTGGATTGGAGAGGTTGGATTGGAGAGATTGGAGAGATTGGAGAGATTGGAGAGATTGGAGAGATTGGAGAGATTGGAGAGATTGGAGAGATTGGAGAGATTGGAGAGATTGGAGAGATTGGAGAGATTGGAGAGATTGGAGAGATTGGAGAGATTGGAGAGATTGGAGAGATTGGAGAGATTGGAGAGATTGGAGAGATTGGAGAGATTGGAGAGATTGGAGAGATTGGAGAGATTGGAGAGATTGGAGAGATTGGAGAGATTGGAGAGATTGGAGAGATTGGAGAGATTGGAGAGATTGGAGAGATTGGAGAGATTGGAGAGATTGGAGAGATTGGAGAGATTGGAGAGGGGAGAGGGGGAGAGAGAGAGAGAGAGAGAGAGAGTGCAACAAATCAGTCAGTGGAACCTTGCTCGAGCCGAAGGGTGCCTCTAGAAGCCTGGCACGCTGGACTTGGAGACTTAGATCTTGAGACTGCAAGTCCCCAACTCCCCAACCTTTTTGTTTCATAACCAAGCGGCTTTTCGAAGCTGCGAAGGAGCCAAACCTCAGTTGCAACTGCTTCAAACTCTGCTTTGGGCTGTGAAATAGAATGAGGCTTGGCAAGATCATGTAAGGTATGCAGAAGTAGGTAAGACCTTGTCGATACCCCCCCCCGGGCTACACAGGCGCTTGAGCCGCTTGTGCCGCTCTTCTGCTTAGGCGCGTCTCAACTCGAGGAGCACTGAACCAAAACAGCAAATCGGTTCGGTTTGGAGGAGCACTTAGACTTAGCCCTCAAGCTGGACCCGCAACGACCGAAACAGCAGTCAAGTTTAGAACACTGCCGTGCCAGGGGAAGGGACAAACCCGTTGCGTTCTGCGATGTATGCAACTTCGCTCTCGCATTCTCGCCTTGCAGCTGAGGATCGGGTCTGCGGCGCCAGGCTGCTCTTTCACAGCCGTCCCACCTTTAACGTTTTTGGCCTTGCAGATTGCATGAAAATCATTAAACTCCATGTTTTTCAGAGGCACTGAAAGGACTTGTCAAAGCAGCTCTGGCGGCAATCGAATCTAAGAACATGCTCTGCCAGACATGCGTGGCGCCTGCATTTGGCCTGGTTTCGACTTGCTTGGCTCCAGGTCAAACCTTCGTGTGCAATGGCTGTTGCCGACGTCCAAATATCATGTGGCTTTGGTTTTTGTTCTAAAAAAGCTCACTTTGCGTAAGCTGTCAGATGCGCTGGCGGACTTACAGCACACGGCAAGGGGCGTCAGCACATCACCTGCTGCCGGCTGATTCCCATCAACGCAGTCCTTGAAAAGACAAGACATCGCAGCGGGACGTCAGGAACAGAGCCTAGGACTGTGGAACCTTAAACGCGCTCATGGCAAAATGCCGTCCTTGATGTGGATAAAGACATCTGTTCCTGTGCCACCTTAGGGTGACCGGGCTCCCAGACGAAAGCAAGGGTTACAAAACACGACATGCAGCATGGATGGCAATGTGGGTACGGGTGTGGACTTGCGATTTGCCTCCGTATCTTGCCGTCCCCACTCTGTCTGCGACCAAGAAAATAGCTACGCTGTTACACCTCCCCCTCCAACCATATCAGGAATCGGGACGTGTCGGAGCAGCCTGCCTGAATGTGTTGGCGGGGAACACTAAGAGAAACTTCGCGATCAAGAGTTCACACGGGAGCTCCAAATCAGCGCGCTTTCATCACAAGGTCGGGCCGACCATAATCCCCACAATTGGGCTACACCATCCATTGCTTAGAGCCCCCAAAAAACCCCCAAAAGATCCCAAAAAAGGTGGAAAATGGTGGAAAGCCGACAGAGCCGCAGTCGATGAAACCGAAGCCCTTGGCGCCATTGAAGGACTTCACGGTGCCCGAGGCGCTCATGACGGGACCTTTGTGGCATCACTTTTTGAGTTTGGGGTTGGTAGGGCTTGCTTAGAAAGTTCAGGGTCTTCTTGAAGGCTCATTTGGTCGAATGAAGCTTCGTGGCTCGGATCCTTGGGCGCTTTCAGGCACTTAACGTACAGCCCTCTCCTTCACCCTGCAGCGCACTAGGGCTTAATAGGGTTTACTGGCTTGACTTACAGTCTCCAACCTCCCCCTCACTCTGCAACGCATTAAGGCTTCATGGGGGGCGGCACTGTCCAGACGCTGAGGCAGGCACCGACTGGCTGGTGTGCGACATGTATGTCGAACTTAACATCAAAACTAAAGCCGCACCCTGAGCCATACAGCCGCACGTGAGCACAATACATGACAAGTAAATATAAGTAAATATTAGTATGTGTATATACTGTATACAACATATACGCATAGCACATGCCACATCCTGCCTACTTCTGCTACGTGCACTTGGCCTGCGTGGGGAAAGAGGGACGTACCCTGCTGGATCTGGACACGACCCATCCCTCCGGCCACTTCGATGTCAAAGAGCCCTTGTTTAACTACTTTGTTGACCCTTTTTGAACAAAACAAGCCAGCCCCGCGGAGCGATGTAGGGATTCTTGGAGAATCCCAGGCCTGGGTGCGACATGTTCGCAGTTCTGCCTTGCGCCAAACCGTTGTTTCTCGTATGGGAGGTCTGGTTTGGAAAAAAGTACATTATCTTCGCGATGGCAGGGCAGGTATGCATGGAACTCTCACGATTCTTCAGCTCGGCATTTTGAGAGGCACGCTTCTTGATTCAACGGCTTAGACAAGGCCTGAAGCAGTGATGTCTGATCTGTGAGTGCATGAGCAGAAGTCCTTCACATCTCGCCCCCCAAGCCGTGTCTACATGCTTTGGTGAGAATGCCATGCCCATCTTGGCAGTGCATGGCTAGAAGAATGCTTGGCCGTCCCCAACGCAGTCTGCGTGAGAGGGATGAAACTGGCATATCGCGTCGTGTCAGCGCTACGCCGACGCACGTTCGAAGCCCTGGTAGCTCCAGGCGTCTGGATTCACCACCCGCGACTCACAGCCACGAGAATCGAAGCCAAAGTTCAGGCAGCATGTCCAGGCCTCTCGAACTGAAAGGGGAACAGACTGAAGTCCCGGCTGAACCACACGACCATTCATCTAGCGCATATAATTGTATAACCTACTATACCACCATGTTATGTTCCCCGTGCCTCTCGCTTTTCTGCCTCATTCCAAACAAAAGCTCCAGGGTGGAAGTGCTCCTTGTATCTGCGATCCTGGCAAAGCAAGGCGTCTCGTAAACAGCTGCTACAGTAAGCTGCCTATGCTACCTGCACATCCTGCCCTGGGGCTCACAGGGACCCCTATGGATCCCTGATGTCCTGCGTGGTCAAGGACAAGTTTGGCCGGAAGCTTTCATGCTGCACGGGGAACCGCCACATTTTCTCGTCGGCCAGCAGCTTTTCATTGAGAAGCCTCTGGCGAGAGCATGACCACAACGAAAGATGCGAAGCAGGTAGGTTTTTGGTAGGAAGGAGTATCTCAAGTTGCCGGTATTAGTGCTGGAATAGCGCGAGACTGAACAGTGCCTGTCGCAAAACTCAACGGAGAAAGAATACGAGTAGAACTGCCGTGGTGCCAGGACACTGCTGGTGCGGCATGACTAGCTACCAGCTATCATGCCATGCAATCTCCGTTGCATCCTCACTCTCCTTTACTTCTCTTTTACACACTCTTGCTCTACTCTTCAGCTACAAGCTACCCTCGCATTGCCACTATCGCGGCTTCCATTACTGCTCGAGAGGCCACCACCTCACTCTACATGGCAAATTTTTCCAAGCACATGCAGCTCTCGACTCTCGCTAAGAGATCTCGTGCGGCTTAAACCGCCACCATGGACGGGTTGCAGCGCAGAGTTTGATTCCAATCATTTCTCGCGGCAGCCTCTGCGCCATTGCTTGAAGTCGCTCTTCAGAAGCTTGAGGAAACTCGACTTTGAGCTCTCTCTTGAACTGGTCCTGGCTTGCAAGGCATGTCTTGAATTGTCTTGACACCCGACGTGCCTCTCCCCTCCCACAAATGGGCTCCTTCAAATCCTGGAAATCCACCTTCCGCTCGCGGAGCCTATCGTTCATGTTGGTGATCGCCTGGTCAGGTTGACGGAGTTTCTGCAGCAGCTGCTAGGCTTCCTTCCCTTACTCCCACGAAGGACTCAGGAGGGCCCATGCTACAGGCATCCCCGGAGCACCGAGCTCACTTCGCCTTCGTCGGGTTAACGTACGCATCCTTGTTGAGCTTATTTTCCTGGGCTGCGAAGCCACTATACGCCCACTTCGACACAGGCATTGAAACAACTGCCGGTGACGGTGCGCGCATGTGCGCGCCAAGACACTCTGGCCATCATGCGGAAGCGCCTCTCATCCTCGGGTGCATGAATGGTCCAACAAGCCTGGGCCCCTAAACCCTAAACCCTAAACCCTTTTGGTACCTTGCAAGATTCCCTCTAAGCCAGCCCTGAGGGATCTAAAAGCCCACCAGGCCTAAGGCCCACCCGCTACACCCTGCAGAGGCTTCTGAACCCAACCTTCTCTCTTGTTGCCTCCAGGATGCCTTTGATTGCACGACTGCATGGGCCTGAACAACGTCTTCCTGGAATGGGCTTTTCGACTTGACGATTTTTTGAGTTTGGGGTGTAAGGCGGAGGAGGGTGTGGGGTTTAGGGACACAACTCAAGACGACAAAGCTTGCAGTTCTGCTAGGACCCGAAAATTGAAAGCCCCATCTTCCCTCCCTGGCACGAATGTCATGTTCTGGATCCCATATGCCTAGGCTGCGGACATTATGTCCTCCCCTGAGCAAGCTTGATTTTTGCGTTTTGAAGTCTGTTCCCTGCCTTGGTGTGGGTGCTGTACGAAGAATTCCAGTCACTCCAGTGATCAGCAATGCAGTGGGAAGGCAAACCCCGCTCGTCGATGGCATTGAACCATCTGCCTGTAACACCCGTCTGGGGCAGCTGCATGCTGTACAGAGTGGCAGCACACAAACGCTTCGCCTGACAGCTTGCCGATCGGCCCCTGGCCAGTTAGGGCAACGATGAACCTTAGACATACACGCGTGTGTTTGCAGCCGAAAGCAGGATCTGCAGCGGAAAGGCTCATACTGTATCTTTGATGCAGCTGTAGGGGCTTGTGACGCTCGACGATGGCCTCATCCGTGTGAGCCTTGCAAGGCTTGAGAATCTTCTCGTCGTGGAGGCCAGCTCGAACTTGAAGCAAATGACGCTTCAAGTCCTGGCCACATGCTCGACCAACAACAAACAACAAAAGCAACCAACCAAGTGTGGAACTGCCAGCAAAGAAAGGCACAGCAACTTTTTGAACATTCAAGTTCTGATAAGTTCTGCTTCTCGCACCCACAGAGGTGGAACGTCGATGGCATTGAACCATCTTCATGTCCACTACAGGACACCAGTCGAGAGGATCCCTGGTGAAGAACGTGTCTGTTGCCGAAGCGCCGTCAAAGCTGTCCATGGGCTATCCATGAGCTGTCCAGGCTCGCGAGCGGAGGTGCGTTGAGGTGCGTTGAGGTGCATGCTGCATGCACAAGAACTCATTCCACGGCTCTGCGCGCACGGTGTCCATCCTTCCAGTGCCAAATAGCGCCAACATTTCACTCCACAATTCGGTTCTGCACGCATCGAAGGTACCGCTCAACGTTTGGACCAGGGCAGTTTGCCAAAGCAGCTCCATGACAGTATCCCTGCTGCTGCTGAGCATTCAAGTACGTGATCGCCATCTCTCTCTCACACAGAGAAGCGCAGTGCTTCACATCGCGTCCCGTGGCCTTGAGCAGCAGGCAAACATTCTAGCTAGAGAGAGAAAGAGGGGCATAGAGGCAAAGAAAAATGAGATTCACGAATCCGCCCAGGCCTAAGGCATTTGGGGCAAAACAACCCACCTCCTTCTGTCCTCCTCTCTGGAGCCCCCAACACAGAGAGCCAAGGTTTCCTTCACAGGCTCCTTCAAAAAACAGGCACAAATCTGCGGGGGCCTCCTGTGGTCCCGAACCTTCTTTGACGGCTTACACCCTTTATGGATCCCTTGGAACTTGTCTAGGCGATCGACCGAAAAATCGGAAACCAGGACGGCTGAATCGGAAACAAGAACAGGAAAATCAGAGACCAGGCTTGCATCGGAAACCAGAACGGCAGAATCGGAAACCTGAAAATTGCAAACCAGGAGACGGCTGAGTCGCTTGCGGGAAACGGGAGCGGGTTTGTAATGCTTCGGCATTCCGGACACGATGAGCTTCTGTTCGCGGCTGGTTTCCCATTCGCAGTTTTTTGGTTTGCGGCTTCTGATTCGCGGGCTGGTTTCTTTAATTTTCCCTGATCGTGTCTAGGCTCCCTACCAAACCCACCTTCTATGGACCACCAACAAACCTCCCATGCTCCCCTATGGAAGACATCCTTACGAGACCTCTTATGGACCCTCCATGAACTGCTCTGGATTTCTCTCTTTGTATGGTTCCCGATGGACACCCCACCACCCAAATTTTGGTGAAGCCTCAATCCCCTTGGCTTGTATTTCTTCCTGTTTGCCTTTCCCCCCCCCGCCCCCCGGTGCATGTGGACTCGCTCTCTTCTGACCGGCTAGAGTCGTCTCGTTGACGTAGCGGCGTCTTGCAGGGTTTAGGGACCTTCTCCACGGATCCCCCATGCTCTCCTCATGAACTAGGCCTCACCTCAGGCCCGCCCTGGACCATCCGTCTGGCACGACTTCTTCAGGAAGAAGAATTCTGGAACCGTGTTGGCCCTACTCTGCGAACCCATGGCATCCAGCCTTGGCCAAAGAGCTCGCCTCCGAAAGCTTTGCCAAGTCCTCCTCCTGCAAGTGCTTGGCATATGACCTCCACATCGTGCTCAGGTGCTCCTTCAAAGGATGAGCGAAGTTGACAACCTCTGCTCGATGCCGCACATCCCAAGGCAGCTTGTCTATGCAGTTTGTTGTACCCAGAACAAGGACCTTGCTAGCGGCTGGCTGACACACCCCATCTAGAAATTGCCGTAGTCCAGATGCAAATGCTTCATGGGAGGCGAACTGGTCAACTTCGTCGAGGAACAGCATGCAGTCCCGGCCTCGGATCTCCTGTCGGACTTGAGAAGCCCAGGCACTTGTGAAGAACGCCTGTCCCGTAGAACCCGACACCTGCGTCGGGTTGACGGTAAGCAGAGGCAGGCCAAGCGCACGGGCAAAACTGACAGCATGCTTCGTCTTGCCAGTACCCGGAGGGCCGCTCAAGATTATCAGCTGAGCTCCTTCACAGTCCGCAGTACCTTCCTCTCGGGTCGTCCTTTGATAGAGGCGGAAGTCGTCACAAAGTTCAGCATAGTGAGCCAGCAGCTGCAGCTGCTGAGACTCCGTTCCCACGAGGCCATCATCCGCAAAGGCACGCTGCCCTTTCGCCTCGCTGCCAGCAAGCAACTCTTCCGTCAGCTTTGGCCCTTGGGCAGCACCGGCGCCGGCGCTCAAACCAGGAAGGAGGCCCAAGGGCGGAACACCTCCTGCACCTGCACCGTCTGGAACTCCTGCACCCGGAGGCGCCGCAGGCACGGGCCGGTCCCGCCTGCGGGGGAGCTCCAGATCCTCCAGCGTGACCTGCAACTTCTCCAGCTTTGCCAGCTTTGGACCTTGTCCTTGATCGGACCATTCTGGCCTTGCTGCTGCAGATCCCATCTCTAAGGTTCTCACTTGGATCTGATGCTGATGCTCCTGTTGCCTCTTCTTTCTGATGATACGACCGAACTGTTTGACATGCTGACACAGACACTTAGATAACCAGTCCAGCAAGCCCAATCACCAGCGAAAGAAGCTTGAGCAAAAACAGCTGTGGCCGACGTCGGGGAACACAGGATTCTGGCCGCGTGCTCTTTCAGGAAGAGTAAGCGCCTTGTGCTGATCCTTCTGAATCTTCTGGTCAGCGATCGTTGAGGAATTCCTCGGCAGAAATATCCAGCTATTGCCACAACTGTAGACATGAACTCTGTCGAGGTGCCAGTCACGCTTCTCAGTGCCCAGGATGTTCGGCTGCTTCCGTTTTTGGACAGCACGTTTCGACTCGAGCACCTGTCAGAGCCCGTGGTCCGCTGATGTGCAAGATTTGGCTTATTCCGGCAGACACAAGCAACAGAGTCAGCATAAATGATCCCCAACCTCGTGCGGCACATCTCCACTGTGGAAAACTTTTTGTGCCAAGGTGTAGTTGATCTTGTCACTCTTGGCAGACCCTACCTGTCAGGGACAGCGCGGGCAACTCCACACCTCCCAGGATCCAGCCCGAAATTGCATTAATTGAGAGTTGTTCGTAGTCTGGGGGAGCTTGCCGCCTCTTGCACATTGTATTTGGGGGACCCTACACCCTAAACCCTAAATCCTAAACCCTAAACCCTAAAACCCCCCACTCTTGCACCTGGAACTTGCTGGTTAGGTAGGGATGGGTCATCGAGGAACGGAGCGTGGCCGTGGGCTCCATGGTCGCCGAAGCAGCCGAAGCACCCAACGTGGCGGACGTCATCAGCTCCTCAAGCACTGATGCCTAGCTCCCTGTCATCATTGGAAGCAGAAACCCTCAACTTAACTCAAAGATCGCTTGGCCAAGGCCATGAGGCCTTTCTGAGGAAGGGACGGCTTCTTGCAAAGCGAGACGTCCCTGCTCCACCAAGGCCAAGTTTCCTTCAACTGGCGCAGAAACTTGCTACAGCTCTTTCCTTTGGAAAGGTGGTCAAATGGAGACGAAGAGCCACATGGCTGCAACAGGACGCCCAACATGCTGTCGAGCGAACACAGCTTGAAGGTCACCTGCTTGAAGAATTGGCAAGAATGTCCAAGACTTCAGAACTGCACTACAGCCTCTCGCCGCGCTTCTGGCCACTCCAGTCACTTCCCAGCACCCAGCCCCAGAGAAAGCATCTCGGGTTGCTGCTTGGTAGCACCGTGCTACTTGTGCTGCTTGGAGGCCTGTTGCCACTGCGGCTTTCTCTGCATGCTGTCAGGATGCTGTCAGCATGCCGGCATGCTGCTCGGAAGAACAGATCAACCGACTCAAAGCATCCAACCCTCCAGCCCCTACTCCTTCGGAACACCCAACCAAGTTCCGGGATCAACGCTGCCCTGAAGTGTGAAAGGTTTGCACAGCGCGGTGGCCTCTGTGCCGGTTGCATGGGGCGCCGAACCGCGTCACGGCCTTGCTCCGGCTTTTGATCCGACATTGGAACGGTCGGAAAACTCAAAATCGCTCTCACTCTCACTCTTCTTCTTCTTCTCCTTCTTCTTCTTCTGCAGGGCATATGGGGAGCCCCCCCGTGAACCAGGCGCGCCCGAGGGTGTGTCAGGGTCGTATGTGATATCTCTTCTTCTTCTTCTTCTTATTCTTCTTCTTCTGCAGGGCATAGGGGGAGCCCCCCCGTGAACCAGGCGCGCCCGAGGGTGTGTCAGGTTCGTATGTGAAATCTCTTCTTCTTCTTCTGATTCTTCTTCTTCTTCGTCTTCTTCTTCTGCAGGGCATAGGGGGAGCCCCCCCGTGAACCGGGCGCGCCCGAGGATGTGTCAGGTTCGTATGTGAAATCTCTTCTTCTTCTTCTTCTTCTTCTTCTTCTTCTTCTTCTTCTTCTTCTTCTTCTTCTTCTTCTTCTTCTTCTTCTTCTTCTTCTTCTTCTTCTTCTTCTCCTTCTCCTTCTCCTTCTCTTCTTCTTCTGACGGGCTTGAAAGGCAAGGCAGGTGTCCCTACTCCCTCGCGTGCGAGCGTGCCCGCTCACGTTCGGAGTTGGTGTGACACGCGAAAGAAAGTCGGGACACACACACACACACACACACACAACATTGTACAATTGCTAAGGGAGAGGATTCCCCCCCCCCACAGTAGTTGTTTCACCCCCACCAACTAGCACAAACCTAACGGCGATGTTGATGTTTCCCCTTTTTTAAGCCTGGGGAAAAACATGCAGGTCCCGCTCTCATGTTGAAGTGTGCCCCGAATGTTTCTTCCTGCCTTCCAGCGCTCTTGACCCCCGCCCTCCTTCTTTCTCCCTCTCTGTCTTTCCTTTGGGGGGCTTGAGGGCCCTCCCTCGCTTTCTTGGACTCGGCAACCGGCTAGCTGCCGGTTGCTGCGACCGTCTGGAAAGCCTGGAGGAGGCTCTGCATGTAGGGTTTAGGGTTTCGGGCTTAGGGCTCAGGGCTCAGGGCTTAGGGCTTGGGGTTTGGGGCTTGGGGTTTGGGGTTTGGGGATCTGCAGCATGGCCTTTCCAGATCTCGGTGCTTCGCCTTGCGGAGCTGGCAAGAGCCCTGCCACGGCTTTGCCTGATCTGAGCAAGTTGCTGCACAAGCAGGGCCAACAAGTAGTCAGGCTCGCACTTCTCTTGCCCATAACTTCTTCAACAGGACACCCTCCCCCATCGACTAACACGCAGAGGCATCATAGCTAAGGAGACTTTGCCAGTCTGGACTCCGGCTGCAAGTTTTCCCCTCATGGCACGAATCGTCAATCGTTCCCTCGCAGCAAGGCACTCCATGGGTGGGCTCAGTTCCCAAAGCATCCAACACGCTACAAACACGTACATGTATCATTTACCTAAATATACCTGCACAGTCGTGTACCCAAGCTGATGCCCTGGCAGGCTTTGCAAGCCTCCGGCCGAAAACTAGACGTGAATTACGGGGCCAAGGGGCCAAGATGTGACCTCTGCATAGGCACAGACTGCTCCATCTGCACAAGCTTGCAGACAAGTCGCTTGAGAAGTGCAGACTGCTCCGTGGCAGAAGGCTGTACACGGTCGCTTGAGATATTGAAATGTTTCATGCAGCAGGGTCGGAAAAGAAGCAGGCTGCAAAAAGTGAAGACCATACAATGACTCAGACGGAACCTCTCGTTTACAATCCGAGGGGAACGTCCAAGCCACCGTCTAACGCTGAATTGGAAAAGGAAGCACGTGAAATTGTGAACTCACAGGAAGCAGCTACGGGCCTACGGGCTTGCCGCGTCCGCCGGGCTAAAGCCAGAAGCTGCGCCACGGCGCGCGGAATGCACGGCGACGAGGCTCAGGAGAATCATAATTGGAGCAAGCTGCAGAAGGTGCTCCGGTGTGGGAGCTGAAGATTGGGTCCAAAAGGCAAGGAGTGCAGAGCAAGCTCCTGTTATGTCGACGAGCGCCTCGAGGCTCTCAACGAAAACATCGGCATTGTCCAAAACCAGTGCACGACATCTCTCTAACTTTGCCGGCAAGGTGATGTCCTCTTGCGACAGAATGTGGTTCAAACCGTCGGTGACTTCACTGCACACCGAAAAACCCTTACGCTTGGCCTGAACCCGCAGAGCAGCTGCAAATGGTGAGAGCCATCCAGATGTGGAGCTTTCAGGGCTTGCAGGTACATCCAAGGGAGGGGTGTCCACGTCACATTCCACCGTTCGTTCGATGCCAGCATCAAGCAGGATCTCCTTGACTAATTCGACAAGGAGAGTGTCGGTCGAGTTCTGAACACACTGAGCCAGCTTTTCAGCATCCAGAGTAGCATAGTCTGCATTGCTGGAAGCAACCACCACTTCTCCATCTCTGCACCCTTTGATGACCTCGCCGGGTTGTACAGCCATGCACTGGCCCTCACTGCACCTTTGGACCTCTCCACGCACAAGAACCTGAACCTCCTGACGAGCCGAGTCTTGCAGGAGGTCCCCTTCTGAAGCCGAGGTCCATTGGCAGTGTCCACAAGCCAGTAGCTTCTGAAAGAGAGGCATAGAGCAACCCTTTGTGTGGAAGGTGCGGGCAAAGAGTAAGGCTTCCTTCTCACTTAAGGACACTGGCTCCTGAGTTCGTAGTGCTTTGAAGGCTCCGAGGACTCCTGAAAGCAGTACGGGGCCCATGGGCCCCGAGTCAAAAAGGTCATTGAACGAGGCAGTGAGGTCATCCGCAACGCTTTTGAGCTGATCCATCCACTCAGCTGGCAACATCTGCGCTCCGTGGTCATGGGCGTGCAGCACAAGCACTATGCTTGCTAGGGTGGTTAGCAGCTCACTTGTGTCAGCGAACATCTCACTTGAAACATCCTTTCCAACGATTGCAGCAATCACGCGGTACAGCTGGCTCTTCGGACTCAGGGGCTCTTCGAAAACAGCCAGGACCCGCCCTGCCATCTTCACGGCGCCATTCCATCCTGTAGCTTCCGCCAAGTTCTTGCTTGCTCCCTGAAATGCTGCTTGGAATTGCTCCTTCACCCAAACAGAACGAGACAGAACGAGCTTACAAATGTCTATACAATCACCTTTCGAAGATCCAAGACGGAAAACAAAAAAAACACACTTCTCAAGCACCATGTCCTCCAGGCTCGACGGAGAAGTCTTTGCTTCTAAGTCTTCTCGGGAAACAGCGACGGTGTCGTCTGTGGAACTTGGCGACAAGAACTTCAGCAGCACAGCTACCTCGCTGCTTTGCAGGTGGATGTCGCAGCTGGACAACGCTGCTGCAAACTCGACTTGGGTTATGCTCCCATCTGAATCCGTATCAAAGCGCTCAAACGCCGTTCTCATGATGATCCTCAACTGTGCAAGGGAGAGGCCCTTGGAAGACGACAATGCGGCCAGGAGAGTACCCATCTGGCTCACAAAGGCTTCACGACCAACTTCATCTTGCCCTGTCACACAAATCATGTTCCAGAGTCTTCTCACGTCGAAGGACTGAAACCTGACATCGAACCTCTCGTTCAAGAGGTCAACCACACGCTCGAAATGAGCTAGGCACAGACACCTCCCCGGGGAAGTGCATGCATCAAATACCTCTCCGAGCTGATGAGAGACCTGCAAAGAGGAGTTTTGTGAAGCGGGCTCCTGTTCCGGTTCATCTGAACCAGTCGCAGCTACAGAAGCTGCAACTTGGGACAGCACGGATGCCTGGCAAGTTTTTGCGCGCCGGTTGACAACAGGCAGGAGAAGTGATCTTCGTCCACGCACTGTCGGCATGGATACTGACCTGGTAACGGAAATGAAACTGGAAGGAGACGGAGAAGTGGGGGCGCCAGGGGAGCTGTCCATGCTCTGCACAGGTGAAGTTCCAAGGCTTACACCAAACCTTAGCCGAGGTGGTGGCCTCCAGTTTAGAAAGCTCGGTGTAGAATCAAGAAGTCGGCCTATGCATCGTGGGCTGTACTGTGCCACCTTTCTCCTTGCAACAAACATGGCTCTGCGCAACATGCGGCTTCGCTTTGCGAGAGTAAAGGTAATGAGGACGGTGCTTCCGACTAAAACTGCACGGTACCCGGATCCAGGTACATTTAACTCTCTCGAGTACCCCTCGCTTCGGGCGTCATGCACGGGATCAGAGGTTGCAGGAGGATCAAACATCCTTTCCATGTTCTCCATAGTGAAACATGACCCTGCTAAGAAGCAGGTCGCCGACCCCTGACATATCCAAATATAAAGCGTCAACATCGCAGCCGCCAGCATGTTAACAGGGCGACATCTTCGCATCACAGCAGGTCCAACATGGCTCTTGCCGATAGGCCCGCGCAGCATTTCGGCAGAGCTTAGATGCACCTCACCAGTGACTCTCAATGCTGTGTTGAAGCTCTTGCTTGATGGCTGCGCTATGTCGTAGTATGTCGTAGTATGTCGTAGTATGTCGTAGTACGTCGTAGTACGTCGTAGTATGCTGCTGCCCTGCTCCTGCCCATGAGGCACATGAGACATGTTGCAAAGACTTTCGGGCCGCCAGCGCAACACGCTCAAAGCTTGGAGCAACTCGAAATAAGAATGCGAGGGAACGAAGAGGCACTTCATGAACGGCAAAAAGCACCCCGCCGCGCTGCCTTGAAGCCATGTAGCCGCCTCTCTAAGTTGCCGTGGATCTCTGCCTGTCCATGTCTCACTTCTCAGTTCCCTTCACCACACAAACATACGCTTTACTACGCTTTACTTGCTGTGCACCGTTGATCGTTCTGCATAGTCCACCCGGCCAGCAGGCAGGTGCTGGGCCGTGAAAGAACAGGCGTCGAGGAGCAAACCCATTGGCCTGCAAAGGCAGCTCAAGTGTCTAGTTCAATACAGACAGATAGAGCAATCGGTCGGTAACAGGTGTACAAGAAGATATATCATTTTCACATGTGAGGTTCATTTTAGACAAGGACTGTCCGTTATTATCCTTACTCGGATCACGTAATTCTCATGCAATATAGCTTGTGCCCTTTAAGTGCAAAGCAGAGATGTGCTCATGCACCTAGCGATATCAATAGTATTTTTGCCTATTCTTGAGAAGCGCTTGTTCATGCTCCTGTAGACTGTAAACTTCCTGTTGCTGGAGCGTGTCTCACAAATTGTAAGAAAAGACCCCTCTGAGCAACATCCCCGTGACCCCGCTGCATCCGCACAGCGTGCCGTGGAGGAAACTTTGCCTGATGCACTTGGCAAGTCCCCCAAGGGAGTTGCATGAGCCATGGCATTTCAGCATCTCCAGAACATGTCGCACCGCGTGTTCTGGAGCATGTACCAGGCATTATCTTCGCCACTACTTCTTGGTGCAGGAAGAGGGATGCCAAGCCGTGCCAGTACTTTCTCACTGCGGATGAACACAGGAAAGACTCTGATAATTGCGTCGACCATATTCCAGCTGTTCTATGCTTGCGACCATAACCTAAACCTGTTAAGCCAGAGATGTGGCACAAGCAGATGCAGATTCATCAACTCAATCAAGAGCTCAAGCTTGGAGGGCTTCGCGCACACGGAGGGATGCGCTGCCTCTGCTGCAGCGGAAGCAGTATGGCCCTGAGCTGCTGCAGTACTCTCTGCGAACGCTCCAACTCCGACTTCTCGGCATTCCATATCCTGGCAGGCTTTTGGGGGGTTTCCGAAAATAGGGGTACCTTTTTTTTGGGGTCCCTATTGCAAGGGGATCCGAATCTCTTTGGGGTCTAGATTAAAGGTCCCTCTACGTTTGTAAACCCCCTCTTTGTGCCATCTCAACAAGATACTTGGAGTGACAGGCCCCTGGCCACGGGCCTCTCCAGGGAGGCGATGCTCTCAGGCTCGGAGCTGGAGGCCGTCATGGCAATGACTAGTATTATTATGACTATTATTATTATGAACATTATTATGATTATTATTATGATTTTGATTGTTATGACTACTATTATTGTTGAATAAAGCAGGTCTTTGCTGGAAACACGGCCTTGCTTAGGTAGGAAGAACGTAGCGGCTCTGAATGCCGAAAGGGCCGTGTGTGTGAAAACTGCAAGTTGCAGTCCCTTGCTGTTGGTAAGGCACCTTTCTCAGTCAAAAGCTGAAAGGATGAAGAAAAGCAACAGACACCTCAGATTTCCAGGGCCAGATTCATAAAACGATGCTGCAGACAAGGTGGCTTCTAAATCCAGCATGATTTCTCACATCATCTGGCAATAGCGAGTCATCAGTTGCAAGGATGGTCTGTAACTATGGCAGAAAGCTCATGAATTTATGGCGTACCAGTTACTACCCCCTCTGTCGAGAACAGGCTCCGCCGCCTTGATCTGTCGAGACCGGAAGCCGGTGCTCAGACTCTACAGACTCCGCAGGGACCTCACTCCCACAGCTTGCGCAGCGGCAGCCCGGGCGCAGGAGGGAGACCAGTGAGGAAGCCTCTGGGGCTTGCGCTCGGTTCTTGAAGGCACTACAGTAGTCACTACAGTTCAGTACACTCTTACAGCACCAACGAAGCAGCTTGCCAATGGAGCTTATTTGAAGGCCAGTTTGGGCCTTACACACCTGCCTTGCGCATGCTTTCGCAGTCGAGTCTTTGCAATGATGGCCGCCGCAGCAGCTACAGTTGGGAGCCCCGCGACGCGGGTCAGTCCACAGACCATGCAAAGCGCGGCCATCACCAAACATGTGGGCAGCACTCGACTTTCCAAGCAGTCAGCCGTACCAGATAAAAAGGCCAAGGCCGCTTGTGCATCCTTGCTGAAGCAGGTGTGCGCTTCCCAGCGGTCAAACACACCTGGAGAGCTGTTGCTGTTGCTGCCGCCTTGGCCTCCGAATGGACCCCCTCCACGAGCACTTACCCAGGAATCAAAGCGCGAGACGAGCTCATCAGCGTTCGTTTCCAGGAGGTACTCCGTTGGTGGCCCGCCATACTTATCAGACGACCGAGGTTTGCGCAAGTATCCGCTACGAACTGCTGGCAGTCCGACAGAGTCTTGGAATGAAAGAACCGTATTGTCCTGGTCTCCGATGAGACCTTGCATCAACTTCCAGCTTTTCAGACCTTCCTCAATCTGATCCAGAAAAGGCCATCTTTTACGTATTCGCCGGTTGACAGTCTTGAAAATGCTTGTACGCTCCTTATCTATGCTACCAACTGTGCGCCCCTTCAGAACAACTTTTGACATCTGCATCATGTTTCCTGACAACCCACTGTCTTCTCCTGTATCGGTAGGAGCTGGAACGAAGTAGGACGTTGTGATTTGCCTGACTTTGCCTTGCTCCGTAGGCACGAAATAGAAATTGAATCCAATAGTTCTGCCATCTGGGTACAAGTATTGTGTCGAGTTTGCGCACGGCGGAGCAAAGCGCCTGAAAGCTTTCATTCCCTTGTTGCTTTGCATGTAACCTCCGTGGCTAGCACTGAGTCCATCGTCCCCAAGGTCCTCGACTTCAAAGGGCTCCATGGCAAAAGCAAGCTCCGGAGCAAAGTTTGGAAGGGCATATTGATGCAAGAACGGGGCATGGCTGGGATCCCAGCTTTGTTCCAACCAAACCCTCCAGCTTGCAGGTGCATCGAATACACTCCAGTTCGGGCTGTCCGCCAACTCGTCAGCAACAAAGGGGTCCGTTTTGGACGCCTCCTCCGCGCTGTCGCTGTTTGGCCACACAAACACTAAGCCCTTGACCGTCTTGGTCGGATACGACTTAAGCTTGCTGCAAGAAGCGCCAATCAATGTTGACTCCGCTTTGGCGTCACCTTCTGCCATTGGTACCTTCACACAAGAACCATCGCCATTGAAAGTCCAGCCATGAAAACGGCACATGAGTTGACCATCCGGTGTAACTCTTCCATGTGCCAAGGGTGCCAGTCTGTGTGGGCAAATCCCATCAGTGCAACGCCACTCGCCAGCACCATCCTTCCAAAGCACCAAGTCGCGGCCCAAGAGCTTGATAGGTTCCGGGCCGTTCGCTTTTAACATTGATGTTGGAAGGATGGGATACCACTGTCGAGTCCAATCGAAGCTCGGCTTCGGGTCATCAACTTTTTCTGCAGTGGACTCGGGAGCGGCAGGTTCTACATCCATTACGTCCTTCCCAAGCGAGGCATGCGAGGCGGACCTGCCATGCAAGGGATGGAGGCAACTGCGGCGCCGGGCTGGCCAGTGGTCCCGGCAGCCCAAGCCTACCGCCATCCCCAGCCAACCGCATAGCGCACTTGGGCTGACACGACTTCTTCGCTCGCACGGTGGCACATCACGAAAAACCTCTGCAGTGGGAGCACGGACAACTGATGAGCTTGTAGGCAGCCTGCCAGATACCAGGGGAGCAGCCACCATGGTGAGGAATGGCTAGATGCCAGGCCAAAACCCTGGTTGGAGATTACGGTGAAATGACGGTTCTGTAACGCTTCGGCTACCATGGCTTGACAAATTGATGCAAAACCACCTGCAGTAAGCCCTATCTGCGTGCCACAATATGTCACAATAAGCGTGAGGGCCCGATCTTCAATCATTCAGAGCTCGCCAAGAAGCAGATGCACAACAACCCGGGGCGGAGTCCCGACAACTGCACCTTAAGCTAAGAGAAGTAGAACCTCATGCTATGAAAGGTGATGAGGTCGTACTCAAGCCAAACCATTCTGACCCAGCATCACACATGATGTAAAGATCCTGTTGTATGAACTTAGCTCGAAGGACACTACTGGGAGGCACTACCACCATACCACACGACTCAGATCTTCTGGCACCTTCTTATTACTCTTCCAAACTACACAGTTATGGGCACTGAAAAGCATGACACCTGAAAGCTGCTAAGTTGCATCGCAAAGCTAAGAATGGGCCAAACCGAAGCGAGCTTTTTCTGCGGTCTCAGCATCCATTGGCAAAACGTCGTGCAGCATCTCTCAACGCTTCTCGCATTAGTGGGCAAGCATTTAGGGTCTCTTGACAGTGTACCAAGTTGTGCGCTGTACCACACTGTCCATCATGCCGGCATACACCCCAAACAGCGACCGCTTCAAGAACAGTCCATGGGCACTTAAAACAGCGAGAGAGCACAGTGTTCTGCATTTCAGTATTGCATGCGCACTCTGAACCGAGACGGGAGCGCAATGATCATGCGCTGGCAAAACGCAAATCCCAGAACGGCTGTGCACGCGGCGAACAAGTCCCAGACCAAGGTCGGAATAATCAGCAAAAAGTGCATCCCCCCGCGATGCTTTCGCAATGATGCGAGATGATGCGAGATGATGCAAGATTATGCAAGATGATGCAAGATGATGCAAGATGATGCAAGATGATGCAAGATGATGCAAGCCTGCCTCTCAACCTGGCCACGGCATGTGCACGGGACCCAGGCAAGAACGCACTCGGCACTCGCCGCGCGGCCAACCCATACTATTTGCGATGTCTTGGATGTCGTCCCACGCGCGGCACCTCGGGGAGAGCGTCTCGGGCAAATGGAAAAACCGAGAGGGTCGTCAAGGCTCGTCGTGCACCACTGCCAATGCGCCATTGTCTGGGGCAGGGCGTCAAGGCCCACAAGAAACATCGAGAGAGCGATTTTGACATCTGGGGGGCACCACGTCGGGCTGTTGTGCACGTTCTTTTTCCGTGACTCCAGGAACCCATAGTGCAAGGATGTGCAAGTGGTTGGGGCTGTTATGGGCTGCTGGAATATATCGTACTAAGGCCAGAGAGCCTGCCCATGAGATGCGCCTGTTCCCAATTCACCAGCCTTTTGGAATTTGTCTCACAACTTGCTGCGGGCTTCGAAGGCCTCCATCGGCGGCACATTTTAGGATATCTAAACCATGCATCACAGCTCCATCTGTCCAGCCTGCAGGCATTGGGCAAGCTCCTTGCATTTGTACCTGCAAACAACGTGTTGCAAAACGAAGAGAGACGCAGAAACGCACGGATATCAAACGAGAGCGAAAGCGAGAGCATTCGGGGGACAGTGAAAAGCACTAAATCAGCGTAAGTTACAATATTGCGTGCGGCTTGGAGAAATTCGGAGCAATACACCGCCACACATGGCCCAACCGCCTGCCGAGGGTAGCCTGCCGAATTTGCCATGACCTGCCATGAAAAACGTCTGAAAATCTTCAAAAGACCCTTCACAGCCTGCCTGATGCCCCTGCGGATAGCCACCGACCCCACTTCCAGCCACCTGGTACGGACATCGGATCACATGATGGAGCTCTTCCCGACTCTATCGCCAAGCACAAGACATCATAAATTTGGCATTCCTTCTCAACATGCGGAAAGCCAGGGACAGCCTGCAAGGAGCCGGGGAATGCTGTCGATGGCGTCTGCGCCGGGGATCGATGCACGGATGGCGCCTGCCCCGGACGTGTGGCATTCCATACATGACCCACAGGGGCACGGGTGCCTGAATGGCATGGCTAGCCATGCTGGGCTGCTGGGCTGCTGGGCACTATGACAGGCTTCATTCCCCCCAACATGTTGCACGCACAGGCACAGACGCACACGCACACACGCACGTACCTTGTCCTTGGCCACATCTTTGCCACAGTATTCAAAGTAAAGGTTAGGGATGCGTCCTTTTGGCTCTGATTGGTGGCATCCATTGGCATCCGCAGCTTCTCGGTGGACGAACTCGTAAAAAGGCACTGTCGTTGATGTGGCCTGTATTGGGCGGTCGTGTATGAACTTGGCCACGCTGCACTTTGAGGGCACGAGACGGAAAGTCGGCCTTGAGGAAACAGTACACCCGTGAGATGTCCACCAAGTATGATAAAAGGTGGCGATGATGTCCGCTTGGGCGGTGGTGTTCCGGGCTTCAAATTTTAGGTTGGTGTTGTGTACATACCCAAAGTGCACACCGCGTGCACTGAGATGTATACATATGACCATATCTCGTACCATATCAGGTCCATGGGTACTTGCACCGCGCCATCTTGCGGTGTTGATTTGACGTTGTTGCGTATGACCTCCTCATCGTCTTCATTTCTTCATTGGCTGTTCTGACGAAGCGCTGGTCATCATGTCTGGCACCCTTTGGTGATTGCACTTCCGCATCTGGTCTCGTGATTCTTTGCTGAGTGGTGATTTGCCTTGGCCTCCGCGTCTGTCATGTCGTGTTTTGCCGGCATGTGACATATTAAATCTTAGCCCACCTTTCTTCATTGCTTGATGCTGTGCGGCTTGGCTGACTGTATGTGTTATCGCAAAGCTTTTCAAATCGAATTTACAAATCGGGGAATCGTTCCTGCAGCAGGTAGGTGATCTGGTCCTGATGCAGATCTTGGAATGTTTGGCCGATGCCCGTGCCCTCTTTTTAGTCTTGTAGGATCGTCTGTCGATGTTGCTGTGGTATGAAGACATGGCATGGTCGTTTCGTTTGCAGTCCTCTACGACTTGGTAGCGGTCTGCCCGTGTGGTGTTGCTGCGATCTTTTCAAATTCATGGTGATGTCCGGAACTTGTTGGGTGAGCCTAGGAGCGTAACATGAAGAAGTTCTTCGTCATCTATTGAAGGAAGCATGTTGCCTTGTTCGTTGCACTGCGCGCCTTCCTTCATCCTGTTTTCTTGCCTGGTTGATGATGATGATGATTTCATGTGAATTTAGTGTGTATTCTCTGTCTTCTTGGGTCTCCAAGATCTTGGGCTTCTGGTAGAACTCTTCTCCGATTCGTTTCTTGGTGGACGGGATGTCCATGGCAAGTGACGACAAGTGTTGCTGATCATGCAGGACTGCAGCCTGATGTGATAAACTTGCAACCATTGTTCGTCGGAGCGCACCGGAGCACGCAGAGCGCAATGTCCCATGTGTCTGCCAGGGTAACGTACTTGAGCCTACTGCCTTGTTGTCGGAGTCTTCCATTTGCCATTGAACGTCCGAGCTTGCTTATATAGTGTTTGCTCAGCCTTAGAGTCAGACATGATGGTGACACACACACACCCACACACGCGCGCGCGCGCCCATACACACAAACAGACACACACACACACACACACACACACACACACACACACACACACACACACACACACACACACACACACACACACACACACACACACACACACACACACACACACACACACACACACACACGCACGCACGCACGCACGCACGCACGCACGCACGCACGCACGCACGCACACGCACGCACGCACACACACACACACACACACACACACACAAGCACACACAACACACACACACACACACACACACACACACACACACACACACACACACACACACACACACACACACACACACACACCCGCGCGCGCGCGCTGGCGCTGCCACACTGCTTTTTGAGGCAGCACCTGGCTGGTCTGCGGAGAGCGCCGACCTGAGCTTTTCGTTGCTGGGCGCTAAACACGCATAACGTGCGATTTCCGCTGCAGCGAGTGTAACAGTCGTAACTCATGTCTCATGCAGACCGTTCTCGCATGTTACATTCGCTCCACTTACAGCAAAGCCAAATTTTGTAGATTCGTCGGTAATTGGTTTGTGCCACACATTACGCTCTCATGACATGCCTCCGGTTGAGAATGTTTGGTTTTGCACCCCTGACCACTCCTTCTTGCCTCTTGAAGTGCCTGCATGACTCCTGCAGACTCCTAGCTTCCCCCACTGAGCTCCTCGATAATCCGCGTAGTTTCGATGTCCTGCTTGCTTGTGGCGTCTTTCCGGTCTCGCGCGTGTGTGTTGCTTCTTCTAGTACCCTTGCCAGCGTTGCTGAGTCAAATCGAGGGTCAAAGAACTGCCTGAAAGTACAAACTACACTCCGAAGTCAAAGAACCACCCTAAACCATCCTAAACCATAAACAAGATTGGCCCTAAGCCTAACAAAGTCTTCGAAATGAGACCATGACAAACCTGGAGCAAAGTGATTGCTAATGCCATCATCGTACAACGTGCTGTGAACAGCCGGGCATCACTGGCTATGTGTGAGACAATACCCAACCAAGTTTGAGAAGCCACAGGCCGTGAATTCCATAAGCATGTGTTTTGACATGATGAGACTACACAGTGCCAAGCCGTGTTGTTCAAGCAGGATGATCTAGTGCGCCTGGTTTCGCAATTTAGCCTTCAAAGCGGTCATCGAAACCAAGTGCTTCACTTGTGGCTGTTAACTGCCCTCACTTGTGGCTTCTTTACAGCATGGGCAGTTACAGCAACATAAAGGTGAAGTAGCGAGAAACACCGGACGAAAGCTCAGAGGCGAGGATGCCAAAGCCGATTTCTTGTTTCGCAGCTGTTCGTCTTTGCTTCGGGTTCGGAGTTTTCGGTTTGGTGCAGGAGCTTGAAAAGTCACCCTGTAGGCCTTCGGGGCCCCACCCGCCCAACCCTACCG